GGAAACTCAGCACTGAGTTCCTGGGTCTGCACACCGGCTGTGGACATTGGGGGATTCTAACCCATCTCTGCTGCATATTTTTTTTTATATGTTACAGTATTCATTATAACAGGAGGAGGTGGATAGTAGCACCCAAAACTTCCAGGTGGAACAGAGTTGGGTATTCTGGTGGGAGTTGGTGTTGGAGTATATAAACTAGGGATGCACAGATACTTTTCGAGTACCAGTGCAGATACTTGGCATTTTCATGAGAACTACCAGCGGTTGCAGCTGGGACTGGGCTCTGGTGCTCCACCACTGTCCTGAAATCATTAGTTTGTATTGTTTTAGAAAAACTGTCACATGACAATAAACAAAAATGTATCAGTACTCGTACTTGTAAGTACTCGGCAAGTACCAGTACTCGTACTCGCAAAACTGGTATCCGTGCATCCCTTTATTTATATTTATAAAAACAAAATCATACATTAAAACAGAGATGTACTAATCCCGGGAGCTCTGTGTGCTCCTTACAAATGACAGCTGACTCCTAACTTCTGAATTTTTCTCTAGTCTAGTCCTGGAGCTCAAAAGTATCTGTACTTGTACTCGTACTTGTACCGAGTACTGTACTTGGTATCTGTGCAACCCTAATATAAACCACATAAAGGTCCAGGGACCAACTCAGCCCACCAAGCTTCATCTGTAGGGTAAAATATCACTTTTTGGTGGACTGACCATTACCTTAGTGTTTCTTCTGTGCCTAAGGCACACTAGTGAGGAGATTTTTGCTCTTGAGTTCTCATGTGCGCACCTGCAATGACCTTTACAAACGGTCCTACTCTTCCTGTTTGGATTCTTTATGTATTTTATATTATAAAGCATTCATCAGGAGTAGTCAATACACTCCTATTATTATTGCAGGGGAAGTGCGAATCTAGTGTGGGCAGGAACAGACACATGAATTATGGTAGATACATTTTACAACTGTAGCCCCCAAGTAAACAGCCAGATGATTACTCAGAATTGTCCCTGTAGTTCACCTTTTAATTTAAATTTCCTATTGCTTCAATTATACGTGTAAATGAGTGGCTAAAGTAGATATATCTGCTATTTTCATGTACCATTAAAATTAATGATTTTTTTTTTTTTTGTAGGAAAAGTTAATGTGACAGAAGACTTCATGCGCCTGAAGTGGGGTGAGTAAACTTTGCATGGGTTGAGTAAGACATATTGTTGATGTTATAGTAGCCTAAATTCCTCATCGTGTTACCCTCTTTAGGCATTGGGCGTGTATTATCTGAGTGCACTGTGAACCCCATCATCCTTCCTCTCTGGCATGTTGGTGAGTCTTTTATAATAGGATGCTTATATCTGCTTGACGGGGCCTCAAAATGGCTGCATGCACTAAATCTGCTTTCTTGTAATGCAGGTATGAATGACGTGCTCCCAAATGATCCACCCTACATTCCTCGCTGGGGACAGGTATGTGTGGAATGTAATTATTAGTGGTTCTCGATGGCTACATCATGTCAGTTTTTATGTATTTCAGTCTTGTATTGCTTCAGAGTTTCTTATGTAGTTGGCGTGAGCTACTTCACCAGCTGAGGTCCTTTGTTCCTTATTTTATACAGTCCACACACTGGGTGTATAATGTATGTAAAAATATTAAGGTTTAATATCTGCAATGCCTGCTGAAAAAAGTTCCCATTTAGCTACCCATTTAAAAGTTAAATGTAGTGTGTTTTTTAAAATTTTACCTGGAAGTCATTCTGAATGTAATGAGTATGTTTTGCTCTTTTTACATTTTCATGAAAAGTTATTTTTTTTCCAAATACAAATTCTATGATTCTTCTCAAGTAGCAGTTTATATGTCTGGTGTTTTATTATTCAGTCAGTCTGAGCAGACCGATAGACAAACACAGAGAGAGAAAGAGAAGTGTTGAAGCACAGTCACTGTGTAGCACCACTTAGCAAGAGTCTGCAAAGTAAGGAAATATGGATGTACCCATGCACATATCTAATTCACATGTCGGCTCTAATTATGGGGATGAGTGTATTTCCCCCACCCCTCCCCGCCCATAATTCTCCTTTAATATTTCCCTGGGTGCTAAAGTGAGTGATGGCACCATCAGACATTTTCAGGCAAGAATTTTCACCTGAATACTGTCATTTGAATGACAGAAAGCTTTATTGAGATATCAGAGAATGTTTGTTTATTCCTAGCCAATATTTCTGGAGTGGTTGAATAACTAAATGTGCCGAGCTACAACAATGATCAGATATAAAGTGTATAAAAAAATCAGTGACTCAAACAAATGTCAGTGAATAAAAATCAATTAGCAATAGTGATGAATATTTCTTGTTCCTCCACCAAATGCACCACACCAGATATACCGTTTCCCCGAAAATAAGACCTACCCCGAAAATAAGACCCAGTACTATTTTTGTGAATTGCTAAAACATAAGACCTATCCCGAAAATAAGACCATTGTGACCATTCCCAGAGCCGGTGGTGGCATAAGGGGGAACTTGAAGAGCCGCGGGAGAGGCAGGAGAGAATCAGCGGTGCCAACAAAGCCAGCGCTAGAGGAAGAGAGGCGGCACCGGAGGGAGCAGAGCTGCATAAGCCAATGCTTCCTTTATAGTGCTGGCTCCTGTCACAGGCGGAGTGATACCAAATGCACTCCGCCTGTGAGGAATCGATAGTGAAAGCGCGCTTCGCTCATTCTGGCCAGGGATTGGTTAGCAAATTGCTCTTGGAAATGTACGACACCCCTGATTGCCCTGATCACCATATTTTTTTTCATGAATAAGTGTGGATTGTTGTACATTAAAAACAAAAATAAGACCTATCCCGAAAATAAGACCTAGTGTGTTTGTTTTTTTTTAGCCCAAAAAAATATAACGCAGTGTCTTATTTTCGGGGAAACACGATAGGTGTGCTCACCTTATTGATAGACCCCAGCAAGAGGTCCAATCAGGCAATTCCCTTCCTATATCTGGTGTGGTGCATTTGGTGAAAGAACAGGAAATATTCATCACTGTTGCTATATTTGGACATTTTTGCAGAGTTATGAAGATTTAAAGGCTTTACACCTGATTTATTTTTATTCACTGACACTTGTTTGAGTCACTGATTAATTTTGAGTTATTGTTTTTCTTTTAAATAAATATTCATGTCATTTTATTGGTATCTATCTACCATTAGCTGCCTCATGCCACATTTCGTTTTTCATTTTTCACGTATACACACTTACAGTGGGTGTACATTCCAGTTCATTCTCTATATATATTTCCGGAGAGGTTGCCTTCAGAAATGGATCCTGTGCTAGGAGTGACCATTTTATGATGCCTGGGTATTGATCTCTGTCATTTATATGGAGGAGTTCTACTGAGGATTCTTACTTATCACTAATCCACCCTCCTTCCTGTCTTTACAGAAGATCACTGTTCTGGTGGGAAGTCCGTTCAGTGCTGCATCTTTGGTGGAGAAGTTGAGAGCTGAAAACAGAACACCTGTAAGAACTGCCTATTTACCTTTTCCACAAACATGGCATCACTTTATTTTTCCGCTTAAGTTGCTTACAGTGAAAAAATATAATGTCAGAATGATTAGTAGATCCAGGTATATGGCTATTAAAGCTACATGGAAATCCTAACTTTTCCTTTAAAAGTTAAAGGAGAATTATGGGAAGAGTGAAATACACATCCCCATAATTCAAGCCGACCTGTGACATTGAAGTTGTCACAGGTCGGCTCTATTGATCAGGAACTCGGTGAACACACACCACCGACCACTGATTTCCTGATCCTCTCCCTGCAGAGAGTGATGTCTGCCAGTCACCGCACCTGCATGGGATTCCCCCCTACACTCTCCGATCCTCCATCGCTGACTGGGGGAGGGGGCAGAGCCAGCTGTCAATCGGCCAGCGGGGTGGATCTCGACAACATTGTCAGGATCTGTCCCAGCTTCTGCGCGACTCAGCACTGTCCGCATATAGCGGGCAATGGCCCGCTATATACTTGGTTTTGGATCACCGGAGGACATTAGTATATATCCTCCTGCGTTTCTGCCGAGAACTATGGCCAAAAAAAGGTTAGGCCATAGTTTTCTTTTAAGTTTAACCCCCTAAAGTAGGGTACGCACACAGCGAATTTCAGCCAATTCAGAAATTTGCTGAAATTCCCTGCGTTGGTGACCCTAAACCAGGGGTAGCAAACCTCCGGCCCTCCAGCTGTGGTGAAACTACAAATCCCATGATGCATCTCTCTTCGGGAGTCATGTCTGTGACTGGGAATCTTGCAATGCCTCATGGGATTTGTAGTTCCACCACAGCTGGAGGGCCGGAGGTTTGCTACCCCTGCCCTAAACCATCCGCAGGCGTTGAGCAAGAATTTAAAAAAGAACTGTGTATACCCTATATTCTACTTCGCGTTTCTATCGGCTAGTAAAGATACAACTCATGTTAGGGGTCCATTTATGCTTCTCCAAAGCAGTTGCATGTGGTAGCAAATTGCTATGCCATTTATTTTGAATGGCACCCCAAGGCACACCAGCTCTCATCGGTTGCCATGCACAGCTGTTCCAGTCTTAGTAAATCTCCCTCATTATTTATTTTATTTTTTTGTGGTGTTTTGTGTTTGGCAATACTGTTTTTATAAATATTTTATTTTCTATGGAATCTGTAGACAAAAAGACATGTTTTTTTTTCTGATTTCACCAGTTTAAATTATTTTGTTTTTACTGTAAAGATTTTATTCTATAATTTGTCCCATTTAAAATGACACTAAGATTATGTTTCTGGTTTTCTGGTACAAAGCATGGTAAAGTTATTTGCAAATATATATATTTGGTTTACCATTAACATTTTCTTTTTTGTTTACATTTATTGTAACTTTTTTCAGTGTAGCATAACAAGAAAAATGTAGACAGTAAATTAAAATAAAAGATATATATATATATCTATCTATCTAATTTTATTTTTTAAAGTCTTTTGCAGATCAAAGGTCACGAATTTGATCTACATATGATTGATATAGTAAATACAGTAAGGAAAACCCCCCCACTTTGTTATGTTGTATCTACACAGGAGCAGCTGCATTTTGACAGCCGCTATTTATTATGAAGCAATATCTGGCTACCATTTTGACAGCTGGTAAATGCTAGAAAATAGCAGCAGGGAAATAGCAGCTGGTGATTTTTAGGATGTATCTCTTCTGTATCTGAAAGAAAATGGTAGAAACCATTCTGAGGAAATCAAATGTAGTTGGTAATTATTTCCCCAATAATGGTTGTCAAGTCTGATGCAAAACCATAGTGTTCTGTGGAAACGCAGTTTTACAAAAAGATTTCACTTTGTTTTGCAGACAGAGATGAGGAAAGTTGTTACAGACTATATCCAGGAGGAGTTCCGTAAGCTGAAATCCCAAGCTGAAAACTTACATCAGGGTTTTCAGGAGCAGAGATGACGCCATGCAAAGTGACCTCGGTGTACAGCCACCTATGCTGACATTCGTTCAGTCACCAGATGCCTTCCTGCCTGAATGTTTACCCATCCAGACCTCCTAGCATTTGGACCATTTTAGGGATCCAAGGACACTGATTTTAGTTTCTTAGAATAATTATTATCTATGTTTGATTACGTTTGTGCCAGACCTGCTGCTAAACCACATTGAAGGAGAATGATTGATTTTACGTCTTGCACGTGCGAATGCGTATAGTCTGTGTACTGACCCAATGCACAATAACCACGCAGTGAGGAAATGGGTTTCTAAAACATATTTTAGATACTTCCAGCTCCATTGATCTGTCCTGGTTCTAGCAATAGTCTTTTTTTTAAATGCGGCCTTAAGGAGGTTATCTGCCTAAATGTAATAGTAGTATGTCTCTGAGGGAATGAGGAAGGGAAGACTCTGCTTATGGATCAATATGACCCCCTCTTTCCCCCACAGATGTTCTACATCCCTTACCTTGCCTCCATAGGGAGCTCCACTTGCTGATACACATGGACCAATATAAACTCAGGCTGGCTGTCAGAGGCCCTTCTGCTTCATGACAAGTCATTGACCAGTGTCATTGAGACTGAACTTGATGACAACTTCAGTCTCAATTACATTTTTTTAATGAAGTGAATCACAGGTAAACACTCTTTCATGAGCAACACCTTTTTATTTATACAAAAACTTCCATTTCCTCATAGTCATACTAATGCTTTAAAAGCGGTTGCACCCAGAACTGTTTTCTCTATTTGGGATAAGTAGGACTGGTTTTGGCACTACAAAGTCCTAACTGCCATCCAGGACTCCAGCATGAAGATCTGCCCCATCCCCAGACAGAGCCAAGCGAACTGTGTCCCTATTCTTTTGAGTTCTCCATGTAATCCAATGGAAGATAGAGCAGAGAGAGTCGTGATCCTGAGTATATGGAGAACTCTGGAAGGTAACAGCAGTAGCTTGGTCTCAGTCAGCCGTGCCAGTGGGAAGAGCTCTTTTTGCCAGCAGTAACCCAGTTAGGATTGAGTCCTGGCCCCTTCCCGAAGTTGAGAAATCAGTTTTGGGTGGTTTGCTTAGGTGACAAACTTTTTAGACGTAATTGTGATCAAGTCTGGTCACGTTTGAAGATAGCAGGTGTGGAGGAGCTATCAGCTGGAAGGGCATGCATGCTGTGCCTTGTAGTTCCTCAGTGCCCAGCTTCAAAGTAGAACCATTTCACATGCAGCTATTTCAGGATGAAGTCTCAAATTACAAGTTGCACACCGGACAGGGGTCCCTACACTTTGTACATCCCTTTCCATCCTCGTCAGTCTCATTGTCTTTTATATATGTTTTTTATATTTATTGTAACAAAATAGGTCAGATCTTTGGTTCAGAGATGAACTATTTTATTTTGCTTTTAACAATATGACTGAAAGACTGTTTGTTTTTATACCGCTGATTTTCTGCAGCTGTCTTTTTCCAATAAAGACGTATCAATTTTCATTCCAATTTGCTGTGAAATTCTTTTGACAAGGTGCTCCAATAGCAGTGCGGTGGCTTTAGGGCCCAGTGACACCCTTGTGTGCATTCATGTTTTCGTCTCTTGCGGCATATTTCATTTTGAATGGGCTGTAATACACCTCTGTGTTGCTTCTCTACAATGCAGTGCACCACAACGCACATAACATTTTACATCTATGCGTTGTGATGTGCTGTAGTGCAGGTGTATATGTGCGTTGGTGTGCAATGCACACTCATACTTAACATGTAATGTTGAGTATTTTATGTTGGCTAGTTCCTCTGATAGAAGGGCGGACCCTTTAGAACAGGGGTCTTCAAACTGTATAATCTCAGGCCCCTACATTTGTCTTTGGTCATAAGTCAGGACCCAGGTCGCACTGCAATGCAGGACTTTACGATACCCTGCGTTTCGATGCAGGCGATTGAACTGTGGGCAGGAGGTGCGTTTGGGGTGCTATTCAAATGAATGGCAACGCACCTCCTGCAATAGAATGTGTGGTACAGTGCGTTAATTGCACGGGACTGTGAGATTAACGCACTGTACTAGTGTGAACCAGCCCTGAAAAAGACATTCTCGCACATCCCCCCCCCTCTCAAAAAAAATATTATAATTTTTTTTAAGATCCTCCCACTTTCCACCTTTTACAAGAACTAGAGTGGATCTTTAGCCTGGAGTCCAGTGTGGGGTGCTGTAACTGAGCTCCATCCATATGTGGAGAGCCAGAATGTGACGACTCCAGTCCAGGCACCTTTACAGGGCACTCGAGAGAACTGTAAGCAATGCATGTATGGAGCTCCCTCGTGCCCATACCCCGGCCCACCCCACATAAAACTGACACTCAATGCCAGCATCATATTTTGAATGGCTGCTTGGTGTGAGAACTGACAGTGCTGTGCTAGGGGGAGGCAGAGGGGCCCCTCACGTAGCGCAGTGGAAGGCACGCAGCAACCCACTTTTGGGTCATGACCCACCAGTTGAGAACCACGGCTTTAGAGGCCATTGACACCTTTTGTGTGCATTTATGTGCACCGAGGTGGGCTGCAATAAAGCAGTCCATACATTTTGAATGGGCACTACTGCGCTTTGTAAAACCGTACCTGCTGTTTTTGACAATGCAGTATGCCGCAATGCACACATTGTATTCACATATTATATTGAGTAAATATATATAGATATATTTAAGAATTCACATCTATATTTTTGGTGCATTGGAGTGCAGTTCAGAAGTAATTGAATCTGCCCTTTGTCTAGTAACCCACAACCAATCAGGAATCATCTTTTACTATTGCTGACTGGTAGCTTCTAATAATAACAGTTTCTGCTTGTTGCATGGCCTGTTGTGTAAAGATTGTCAGAGTCAAACTACCACTGTCCAGGTGCCCTGTTGAATTTGATTGGTTGCTGTAGGATGTTTATTGTGTCCAAGCATTCTCTGCTGGTAATCCCTAGCAATCAGTCTATGAATAGAGCCGCCAAGAGGCTCCAAAGCTGCCAGTAACTGAAAGGTTTTCTTGATTTTCTCAGGCCTGGCTGCCACATGCCAATGTCCACTGAAAACATATGCTTGGGGTTTAGGCTGAGCTGTCCAATTAGGGATGCCACCTGTCCAGGGTTCACCTGGACAGTTCGGGTTTTGAATGCTGTGTCCGGGTTTCATGGCAGCTAAAACCCGGACACAAGATGTCAGACAGACCGGGGCAACCAAAATTAAGACAAGGGCTACTGGCCCCCCACTGAAAATAGTCTCAACTGTGATATTTACATATGAATGGGTGGCACTATTTACATTTGAATAAGCCATGACTCATTCTCCCCCAAAAAATGTCTGCACGTCGCTAGAGTGTTCGGGTTTCACTTGAAGAAAAAGTGGCAACCCTATGTCCAATACACACATAATTAGATCTGATTGGTTACCATTTGGAAGACAGAGGGAGTAACATAACAGTCTAACATTATTTTCCAGTTTTCACTCATCTCAAACGAATATTATTCATATTGTTCTGCACGCATAAAACGTCAACCTTTTGTTGTGCGCATGCGTACTTTACAGCTGGACGAAGCTGTAACACATTCTGTCAGCCAATCAGATCTTCCAAGCCGCTCCCATGCCGTCTGTGACTGACAGCGTCGACGTCCAATAAACGCAGCCCTTGTCACCTGATCGCCGCTAGTCACATGACAGTGCTCCGTCTGTCAGAGGCAGGAAGATGGCGGCTGGGAAGGTTGTGTTTCAGCTCTCTGTTCTTCTGCTGGTTGGGGTTCCATGGCGGGTGACGTCCTCACAGCAAGTGCCCGTCCTGCTGTGGTCCAGCGAGAGGTGAGTGCCGACTGCATACCCCGCTGGTGTCGCTGACATGGGGAGATCTTTATATGATAATGAATGGTGGGAGGGTCTGCGGTGTGTATGAGGACATGATGTTATCCATCGTCTAATGTCCTATAGGATGTACGCTGTCTGATGATATCACTGTTTCATGTACTGTCCCTGTGTCCTGATCCCATTACAGAAGCCAATGCCATTTCACCGTGTGATGTCATCCAGTAGCATTACATCAGCTGATATGGTGACAATGTGTGAAATGTACTTCCTGGGTAGATTTACTGATTTTAAAAAAAATAGTTTTCCCCCTTTTCAATTGGAGATGAGCATCACGATTTATCTGATCAGCAGAGGATCACATGATCCACGGATCTAGTCACAGATGTGTGATTCCATGGAGATTAATCTCTATTCATGTTTATTACCGATGTTGCAGATGGCCAAAAATATATTTACTGGTAGAGGAGACAGAGACTGCAGACATAGTAGAGGAGATGGTCAGAGACTGCGGGTGAGCTGGAGTATAGGTGGTCAGGGACTTTGTTTGCTCTAGAGGAGTTGGTCAGAGAGACTGCGGGTGTGCTACAGGAGTTGGTCAGAGAGACTGCGGGCGCGCTACAGGAGAGGGTCAGAGGGACTGCGGGCGCGCTACAGGAGAGGGTCAGAAAGACTGCGGGCGCGCTACAGCAGAGGGTCAGAGAGACTGCGGGCGCGCTACAGGAGAGGGTCAGAGAGACTGCAACTGTTAAGGTGGCCATACACTGTACAACCATCGCAAGACCTTAGTCTTGCGATTGGTTGTAAAGGGATTAAAAAAACGTACGATCTGCCCATCTTGGACGGGCAGATCGCACTCTCGATCATCGCAAGCCACGGCCCCTGAGGGACTGTAATGAGGGGCGGGCTTACGCTGACTGCAAACGGGCAGTGTGCGCGTGGCACACCGGCCCGTTCGGCAGTTGTCGAACCAGCAGGCCACCAACTCGCCGAGAATTGTACGATTCCCGGCGGGTTTTCTAACATGCTGGTTCGATGGAAGATGTGTGACCGTACAGTAGAAACGGTCGCACGCCTTCCATACACTGCACGATTCTCGTACGATCGCGGGATTTCCGGCAATTCTCGTACGAGAATCGTGCAGTGTATGGGCACCTTTACATGAGACTGCTAAACTAATAAACAATTTTGTGCAGTGATGTATTTCTTTGAATAATACTTTAAGTGGGAGAGAGAGAGGGGCAGCCAATCTTCTGTAGTGCAAATAAGGAACATGCTTGACAGTAGGAGAGAGCAGAATGATGACCACAAAAATATGTTGCTGTTCCTTTGTCCTCGAATCAGCAGGCTGGTGTGTACATGAACCCCTGAACTGTACTTTTTCCAGTTTTGGAGTACAGGATATTAAAGCTCTCATCCTTCTGTCAGTAGTAGGAAGGTCCTGTTCTCATCTGCAGGCCTTGTAACCATTTGTGACTTTGTACCGCTTGCTTTTGTTATCTTCGGATAGAGTGGAGAGGCATTAGAGGCCCGGTCAGGTATTTATTGCGGTCTGTGTCCCCATTAGGGAGATTTGCCCTCTTTATTTCTCCTGGTGACCGTTATCACTGAAAGTGAAAGAAAATGCCAAACTTTGGGTTGTAACCAGAACAGGAATAGATGGGGACACTGGTTCTGGTGACACTGCTAAGGTCCAGGGATTTCCCTCACTTTGGAGCGATTTCCTCTCATGTCTTGTTGTGGCTATCAGACAGGAAGTAAAGGGAATTCTCCCCAATAGGACACCAAGTGGCAAAACAAAAACTGCCAGGGGTTCTAATTCTCCCTTACTCTATCCAACACTAACAAAAAATGTTTTGGCTCCAGTTCTACTTTAAAGTGAAACTACACTCAGGAATTAAATCTTAAAAATAAATTAAAGTAGCTCAACTAATAACAAAAATGTCTCTTATTTGTGTATCACTCGACTGTAGATCCTCTAATCATCTCAATGAAAAATCTTTCACAAATAAGAGACATTTGTGTTATTAGTTCGGGAACTCGAATGCATTGTTAAGATTTCCCTCTTTAGAGTCACCTTAAAGTGTATGTCCCAGCAGGCCCTGCCAGCAGTTAGTCATGGGCTTGCCCCTACCAGTTGACCACGGTGGCCGAGTTTTGTTAGAACTTTGACATCCATGAAAGCTGAAGCTTAGCAGTTTTCCCGACTTGACTTTAGTCTGTGGTGCAATACAACGCTGTACAATGGACAAGTCACAAGTTCCTCTTTCCATCTGTAACTTCTTGTTCCTGGAACCAGTACATGTTCTGGGTGCAGTGACAGGAAAGGTTGAATATGACCACCAACCTGATGATTACTAAAACATAGAAAACCCAGAGGCCAGTGGGCAGGAATTGGGGAACTATATAGAAAATCTAGCAGCGTGTTTTATCCACTTACCTGGTCCCAAATCCGAGCCAGGATAATATAATAATAATAATGTATACACAAAGGCAGATCTACTGCATACAAAGAGCGGAACCTGATTTGGTTTGCTTGGTGCCCAGGAACAGTTCTTTGGTGCCATCTCTGGTGGGTAATTAGAGCCAGAGTATCACGTACCTGGTAGGGAGGCCGAAGTGAGAGGAGGCTTCTCTTGCACCTCGTGTCTTGTGACCTTTGAGGTTGAGGACAAAGGCCAGGCAGACAGGGAGAGGCACGAGTCCTTTAGGAAAGTCCAGTAATCGAGGTCACAACAAGCCGGGGTCAAAAGCCATGAAATCCAATTCAGTACAAGTAGGGAGCAGGCCGAAGAATATCCAAAACAGTCCGAGGTCAAAAGGCAGGCAGCAAGCAAGGATGGTCGTTTACACAGGAACAGGTCAAATCCAGGGGAATCAGGTATATACAGGAGAAGGCTAAACGGGAGACAAGGAACACGATCAAGCTGACAAGACAAACCAGCAACTAGTGGGCGTTTGAGCTGGGCTTAAATAGGGCAGTGAGTTCATCTATGATGTAACTTCCTGTGCGCCTCTTGGCGCGTATTTGTTCTCAGCTGCGCCTGCGCGTGTTTGTTCTCAGCTGCGCCTGCACGTGTTTGTTCTCGGCTGCGCCTGCGCGGATTTGTTCCCGGCTGCGCATACGCAGAGCGGGAGTTTCGCTGACACAGAGTGATATTAAGCTTCTTAGGTGCATCAGATGGATATCTACTCTCTGTGCACACTAGAGGTGTATACTATGGAAGAGGGGTCATTGCTTTATAAACAATTTGCAGGACCGATTTCCCTGTGCATATATGTGAATGTTCGCTCTGTGCAAATATATGCCAAAACTAACATTCTTTTGTTTTTCTTTACAAGTGGAATGCATTTTTTACAAATGTTTTTCGTGTAATGTCACATTATGACCACGAGAGAGATGGCTCTAAAGGAGTACCGTATATACTCGAGTATAGGCCGAGTTACCCAGTTCTTTGTGGTAAAATTAGGTACCTCGGCTTATATTCGGGTCGGCTTATACTCGAGTATAAGGGGGGATCTTCCTGCAGGGATCCCCCCCCCGTTCGATCCTCCAGCCCTGACTGGCGAAACGGACGGGGAAGGGGCGGGCATAGCTGGCTCTGCCTCTGGATAAGCAGAGCCAGCTGTCACTCACGCAGCTGGGTGGATGCAGACAGTATTGTCAGGATCCATTCCGGCTGTGGCGTCTCGCGATTTACTGAGCTTTGGGTCACGGGAGAGAACGCTCGTTTGTGTTCTTCCGTGACCCTTAGGAGAACTATGGGGAGAAGCCCTAACCCTATAGTTCTCCTTTTAATCTATTCTAAACCAGATCAGTAGAGTGATCTTGTTTTGCTGCAGCTCTGAAGTGAGATTGTGTTCCAGCACAGGAGTAGGCAACCTCGGCCCTCCAGCTGTTGATGAACTACAAGTCCCATGAGGCATTGCAAAGCTCTGACAGCCACAAGCATGACTCCCAGAGGAAGAGTCATGGTGGGATTTGTATTTTCTTCACAGCTGGAGCCAAGGTTGTCTAGCCCTGTTCTAGATGAATAATGGGATGGGAGCTTAGTAGAAGTTACATTTGATCACATTTGTAGTCAGATTGTGATAACAGCAAACATAACAGCAGCTTTATAGCATGAGGCCAGAAAGTGACCTTCTGTGGCCAGTTTAAATCAATGCATTACAATGCTCCTGTTCACACTCGTGTGTCTGCATATGCATACGTTTTTATTGCACGTTTTTCATCCATAAAGCAGTCCCAACAGTCCATAATCCTTATGCATTATTGTTCTGTCCAACGAAGGCAATAGAAAGTGTAGGTTGGTAGGGGTGGGGGCTTGTTGTCATGCGTTGAAATTCACAAAAATGCGTGTTACATGAGGTTTTGTGTGTCCTTGTTGATCTGTATGGAGCTAAAATGCACAAACTAGTGCCAAAAGAAGCATCTGCACCTTTTTTAATGTCACACTGATGCACAACGCATAGGTGTGAGTGGGTCCCATAGAAAAGAATGGGATTCCTTCAGTTGTGTGATGGGCTTTAGATTGCTTAGGTGGGTATGGGAACTAACACTTGGGGTTTGGGGGGCTTCTGGTGAATTGAAGTATGTGATTGTTTTCCCTATTAATTCTGGGGATGCCAGCAGTGAGACCTCTCTCCTAGAGTCCCTTTTCATATCCTCTGCTTCAGCCATCAGAAAGTAAGGCCTCTCCTCTGCTGTATTCTCCCTGATATAAACGGGACCCTACTGCTGGTGATTCAATCCACCCAAAACTGACAAGTCCCTTCTAGACTGAATTCACTCTTCAGTGGCATGTTTTGTATCTAATACTTTTTATGCATTGTCTCTTCAGTTTATACAAGTAGTGTTCAAGGTGCCAGGTAGCCAATTTACAGCTGGCGCCCAACTGTTGAGGTTTTCTTTCGTCAATAGAGCTGGCTCCTTAAAGGAAGACTCTGCTGGCTCCTGAATTCCATATTCATTTGTCCACCCCTGGAGCAGAGCCACCAAAGTCAGACGGAAACACTGCGTGCGTTGTGCCATTATATAGCCATGACATAAACATAGGTTATATGTCCAGAAATCAACATTCCATCCATTCTGTAAATGATTTCCATTGTGTAGTGCTGGGCACAGCATAGCCTTTGTAATAGTCTTGTGATGTAGCCTCAGTTCCTGGAAAACGAGTGGGTCATGTGACATGACCATGTGCCACACTACTTTTCCAATCTGTAGATTGTGGAAGAAAAATCCCAGTTTACTCTCATCTACAAGAGATCCATGCAGGCGCCTTTTTAATAAGCTCTTACAAATACCATTGGTGTTCAATACAATCAGAATTCAGCCTGTAGATTGTCTGCGCCCAACATGCAGGCTTGTTGAAAATCTGCTTTGACTGCTGCCATGTTACTGCTTCACTGTAAGGCCTTGTTCACACCAAATGCAGAGCAGATCTGCATGAGTTTCTGCACACACAGTGCAGTGGGTTTTGACGCGTTTTTGATGCGTTTCTGGTTAAAAAAAATATTTTTTTAGTTTAAAATGGGCTTTCAGTGCGTTCCAGGGCGTTTACATGCATTCCAGGACCTGGACCTGCTATGGAACGAAAACGCTGCGATGTGAACTGGAGCTAAAAATACCATTGGAATACATTGGACGCAGGTTTGCTTCGGTCTGTAACTGCTCAGCTCCTGGAATGCGCTTGGTGTGAACAAGGCCTAATGAATGCTATGTTAAAGACTGCAGCTGTTGCCATGTTACAAGAGACTGTTGGACTGCTTTCAGGCTACAGGGGGCTGTTATAGGCCAACTCCATATTATTAGAGACTGGCTGGCCATACACCTTACAATTATCTGCAGATTTTCTGTGGTTAGATGGAAAAGGTGCAACAGATTCCTCCATCTACACTTAACTGTGTGGATGGAGTAATCTCCACCTGGGCCAATCTGTTTGGTGCCCATACACTGCACGATTATCGTACGAGAATCGCGGGAAATCACGCTATCGTACGATAATTGCAAAGTGTATGCAAGGCGTGCGACCGTTTATACTGTACGATCGCACGTCTTCCGTCAAACAAGCAGGCTGGAAAACCCGATTCTCGGCGAGTTAGTGGCCTGCTTGTTCGACAACTGCCGAACGGGCCGGTGTGCGCACGCGCACACTGCCCGTTTGCAGTCATCGGAAGCCCGCCCCTCATTGCAGTCATCGGAAGCCCGCCCCTCACGGGGGCGGGCTTGCGATGATCGCAAGTACGATCTGCCTGTCCAAGATGGGCAGATCGTACGTTTTTTTAATTACTTTACAAGCCTCACAAGACAAAAGTCTTGCGAGGGTTGTAAAGTGTATGGCCACCTTTAGAGGCTGCTTACATTTGCAAGAGATCTCTTCCTTGTAGAGACAAGTGAAAGAAATAATAAATGAAACCAATCACAAAATGCCTTATTTAGATTTCTTGACTAGTCTGCCTTCATTTTCTTGTACTGTCATTTTCGGTCCAGCATTTGAGGTTTGTTGGTGCCTTATGAAAACTGTTTGTTTATACCTGAACACTCAATTATCTGACAGTTCCCTGTGGACAGACGAGCCCAGCACACATGGAGGTCACGTGACAACAGATCGTCAGCTGGGTCAGTACTTGGACTCTGCACTGAATAGTGGACCCCGAAATGTCTTGCTTTTCCTCCAAGATAAGGTAACCTATATACACTGTCACAGCCGTTTCTGCTTTACTGATAAGTAGAGGAACTAGGAGTTTTGTGTTTGGTGATGGATTTGCATCAAGGGCAGCATGTTTGAAGGAAGACGAGATGGTGCAAAGTTTCTATTATGACACTGGGATTGGTCATGCAATGACTAATAGCAGACCCTCTTCTGACTCTAGCATGGCGTTTCTCAACCTTTTTCAATCATGGCTCCCTTTGCAACATGGAAAATCTGGAGGCATCCCCAGTCTAAAATGTAAATAAAGTGTGGCCTTCAAAATCCATACCGTGCAAAGACCCAGCGCAAAAACTCAGAACAGAGTTCTCCCTTCAAATCAGGAGCTCCCCTTTTTATTCAGAGCCCTCTCCGCCTTTCACATTTGAGTTCTCCTTTATATCATCAGAAGCCTTCCCTTGACATTAGAAACTCCCTTCACATGAGGAATCCCCTCCTTTCACATCAGAGTCCCCCCTTCATATCAGAAGACTCATTCATATCAGTCCCTCCTTCGCATCAGAGCCCTACCATCATATCATGAGCTTGGATTAGTTTTTGTTTCCATTAAATTGGCAGTCGGCCCACCTGAACCATGGAATGGTATGACACTGTGAGAACATTTCGAGGCACCCTGGTTGAGAAAAGCAGCTCTAGCACACCCCACCTTCCTCAGTGCAGTTAATGTGCATTACTGACCTATGAAAACGGGAGGGGGGTTTACCTGCACTTTTAAACTGAAAGTCCTATTAAACACACCCGGGGTATGCTGTCATTTATCAGATCCTTCTATACATAGCATTTAAGAGATTCAGATCCCACTCTTTACATTTACAAATCATCAATCGGCTGCAGATCAGATCTTGGTGATGAAGATACATGCAGATTTTACAGGTCTGTTATTTTACCTGTGTTTTGGGCCTAGACAGTAACGACAACCATTCTAAGTAGTATTTCATCTGTCCACAGATTCCTCACAGTGGACTTCTAAAATTTGTCACAGTGGGTCAGTTGTTTGTTTAAGCACCAGGGTTGGCCTAGCCCACCCCTAACACTCCAAAGCTATGTTTGTGTTATCTGGTGTCAGTTTCTCCCTGCCTCTGTCACATAAATCTGTTATTTTCCAGCTAAGCATTGAAGACTTTACAGCATTCGGAGGAGTCTATGGCAACAAGCAGGACAGTGCTTTTCCCAATCTTGAAGTAAGTGAAAACTACCTGTATATATTTGTGTTGTCACAGGGCATATTTATAAAGCATTGAATGAAGGTGTGCCACATGCTGGTATAAAGTACAGGAAGCTAGAGGTGCCTGCACATACCTGCAGTAGCCTCCAAAAAGCTTATTTTATGGCCACAACCTGGGCACTTCCGGGTAAGTGGAGCTTGCCATGACCCTACCTGTTGGACATTCCCATTGGCCCATAGCATTGATGGGCTGCCCTAATGGCCAGTAGGTATATCCAAAAGCAGAGAGGTTCAGGAAATCTTCAGCACTAATAGGAAGTGCCAAAGTTAGTTCCAAATCGGAATAAGGTTATGCAAAAATCCCCCAATTGGTCCACATTAGACACTTGGTCCGCATCAGATAAAATAAGAGAGAGTGAAGGGCGGGGGTGACTGACACAAAATCGTATATCTGCAGTCTCTCTAGAGTACCAGCAACATGTTTTGATGATGTATGTGGGGCAAGTGAGCCTCAAAGTCCAGACGCTGAAGTACATTGGCTTCCCATTGCTGTCCTTGTCTTCTAGCATTGCTAGTTACCTGGCTGTCACACTGGTCAAATGGCATCTGTAATTCAGAGTCTTTGACCCAGAACAAGTTTACAGATAAGGTGAGTCACTGGGCCAGAGTCAGCCAGGCAACTAGCATTTACAATAGGAGGTCAAAAAGAGAGGATCCTTCATATTTCTCTCATGACAGGTTTGCTATAAGGCAGGGGAAATCTAGCTGTTCCTTGCATTATCTTCCTGTGCTTTTGTGGGTTTCTTCCGGGTACTCTGATTTCCTCCCACACTTCAAAAACATGCTGGTAAGTTAATTGGCTCCTGTCCAAATCGGCCATTGTATGTATGTGAGCTAGGGACCTTTTAGATTTTTAGCAGAGACTCATGTAAATGTGCAGTACGTAAAGCTCTGCATAAATTGTCGGAGCCATATAAATAGCAAAACAAATGATTATCCGCGCTATAGAGCTGCAGCTAACGATTATTATCAAAATCGATTAGTTAGCCGATTATTAGGTTTGATCGGTTAATCGGATAAACAATAAAATAAAGTTTAAAAAAAGGCTCCAGTGATGGGACTACTAGTTTGTATTGAGGTTGTAGTCCATCACAGGAGCAAGCTTGGAGTGGTGGAAGTGAAAAAGAAAAAGATAGTGTGGTGTGCAATATAGTGAAATGGAAAGTGTAAAATTATACAGCAATGAATGCAGAATGGCACCGAATATAGAGGACTACAAAACCCAGCAATAGTACATTATACAGCACAATGCAGAATACCACCAGCTATAGAGGAATACAACAAATCCCAGCAATAGTACATAATAGCTGGTAGCATTCTGCATTGCGCTGTATAATGTACTATTGCTGGGTTTGGTAGTCCACTATAGCTGGTGGTATTCTGCATTGCACCACTGTATAATGTATTATTGCTGGGATTTGTTGTACTCTTCTATAGCTGGTGGTATTCCGCATTGCGCTGTATAATGTATTATTGCTGGGATTTGTAGTCCCCTATACAGCACAATGCAGAATACCACCAGCTATATAGGAGTACAACAAATTCCAGCAATACATTATACATACAGTGTATAATGTATTGCTGGGATTTGTATTCCTATGTATAATATACAGCACAATGTACCATCAGCTATAGAGGAATACAAATCCCAGCAATACATTATAGAGCAGCATGTGTGGGAAAGTGCAGGCTTACCTGAGCAGTCTTCCAGCAACTTGCTTCTGAGATCGGACCTGTCTATCGGCAGCTGTCATCACCCCACACCTGCTCCTCCTTACTACATCTCCCCGCGTCCCTGTGCCAATTGTGGGTGGGCTATGAGTGTGAGGCGGGGAGGAGGTGGAGCTGTAAACAGGGCCAACTGTTCGGAAGCCGATTTAATCGATTTATTGAAAAAGTTGACAACTTTTTCAATAATCGATTATAATCGATTATGTCGATTAGTTGTTGCAGCCCTACCACGCTATTGTGCTCTGCCCCAATCTCCTCAAAAACACCCTATTGACAGCTGCAGAGATAGAGAGAAGCTATATAAACTTCTCCCACAATATATTAAACAAAAAGACACTGCGCTATCTTTAATATTATAAAACTCTAAGTGCATATACTTAGTGACAATTATACAAAATGTTCACTCCAACTTATATATAGTCCATATAAAAATATTCCCAAAGTTGATGTGATTAAAAATAAATGTGATGAAATCCTAGTGTTCACTTTCTTTACATCAGTGAGTCAAATAATCATTGTATATAAAGTTCCACAATCACTTCTGTGCTTCAATTCCTCGTCAATTAACTTGGCGCAATTAACTTGGCGCCATATAAATACCTGTAATAAATAAATAAAATACAGGTCTCCGAAGCTATTTCTTGCTCCAGAGTATGAAGACTGACTATTTGGCTTTGGGACTGGCGGGAAGGTTCATTGCTTTAATTCCTCTGTGTCCCCAAATTACAGAGCATTATGGAATCCTCGCCATCTTCCCTGGTGCTGCCTTCGGTGGACTGGTATGCTGCCAACATCCTTCCCACCTACCTGAAAGAGAAACTGGGTGTCAGCCCCCTTCATGTGGATCAGTCCACCCTACTAGAGCTGAGACTAAATGAGAGCATCCCATCACTGCTTGTCGTGAGGTTACCTTATGCCAGTAGGTGAGTCTTCCGACATTACCATACTATCCTCTATTCCACATATTTGTGATTTTTATGACCGGTTCAGACAACAAGACAGTGACAGTGTACAAGGTCAAAACAACCACAGACCACCTAACAAGCTACTTAGGAAAATCAACTTTAACAAATTTGTATTTAGTGTATATTCTGCTTTCTTTTTTTCTCTAGTAATGGAGTTATGGCGGCCAAAGATGTCCTCCGAGCCAATGGTAAGCCTGCGTGTTAACTACACCGTCCTGGTATGTTTTCTGGCAAAGTCGGGTATATCAGGAACTGATTTTCTTATATGCTGGTGAATCATGAGATGGAGGGCAGTGGCCATTGTGCTCTCACTGCGAGTGAATTTATAACGTTTCGGGGTTTGACCCCCTACACTGGGCCTGCATGTGCACCCCCTTTTATCTTTGCCCCCTCTTTCCCCTTCACTGCTTTCTTTTTTTGCTCTCTTCTCACTCCTACTTTAGCCTCTCTATGATATGCAGTCATCAGTTGGGCTCTCCCTCTCTTTTTGACTTAATGCCTGACTCGATGTATCACACAATGTCGGGATGGCATTCTGAGTTGTCTGTCTGCTGTCTTCTGTCACTTTTTTTTTTATTAAATAAAACAAATACGTAAGGAAAAGTGAGATGGATATAAAAAGGGAAAGATGTGCAAACTGACTTCCCCAGTGCTTGTGATGCTGCACTCCCACCTTGGTGCCACATGCAAAACTTGCACTGATCACTGCATGACGACTAGGGCCCAGGATAAGTGTGCCCATTAGGCAGGTCTTAAAATCCAGCACTGCCAGTTTAATTTCTCACTTGGTAACCCCTCAATAGCAAATGTATTCATATGACACTGCTAACTAGCTCTAAGGGTTTGAAATCCAGGGCAGTTATATTGTGTAACAGAAGGGGGCAGCACAATACACCAATCCGGGCTTCTCTGCATTGCACAATTCTATCCGAATATTTAAAGCTGGTAACGGGATGATAGAACAGAGTGATGCTCTCATCTGTGTACTGCTGCAGGTTCATTGCCCAGTCATAGACTTGGGTGGTTCACTGATCAGACTGTATGACTCATTGGCGGTAGTCTATTAAGAGGTCTACAGGAATACTGCTGGCTTTTTAGACCTGTCAAACTGTAAACTAGTTCACATTTCCATATTGCATTTAGCAGTTTAGAAGGAGTTCAGTCTGAAAGAAATCTGGGTATTTCCACAGCATTTAAAATCCCAAAACCTCACAATTGTCTTTTTGTCTCTCTAAGGCCCCTTTCACAGGGCTGTCGGTTCCATTGGGGCAGTATGGAAAGGATGTCACTGTTGTGAAATTTGTGTCCCTCCAGTTTTTTCCTCCATCTTACAGTGGAGGAAAAACAGAACTTACCAGACCTATGTTAGTTCTGTGGGGAGTTGGATGTAAGCTGACATGTATTATAAATTTGCAAATGCTCAAAAACCTACATGGTGCTGCATTTTGCTTCTGAATATTATTTGACAACTAGACTGAACACTGTCTGCACATACTCCGAACTCTGTCATTGTTCACTTCCTGTCTTGCTTTTGCAGATGAAGTTATTGGACAAGTCCTGAGCACTCTAAAGTCAGAGGGTGTGCCTTATACTGCTCTTCTCACGGCTCTCAGGCCCTCCAGGGTAAGTATCACAAATAGCAGACAGAGTGAAAAATAGACACTGGGACGATACATTTTGGGATGTTCAGTTCCTGTTCTGTACAAAGGTGGAAAAATGTTTCCAGAATTCAAACTTTAGCTATTAACCAAATCAGTTCCTGTTCTGTTCTGTTCTGTTCTGTTCAGTTCCTGTTCTGTACAAAGGTGGAAAAATGTTTCCAGAATTCAAACTTTAGCTATTAACCTAGTAGTTTCCTTGTTCCCACAGGGGTTGATTTGGTTTAAACCAATATTAAAGGAGAACTATGAGATGAGTGATTTCCACTCACCTCATAGTTCTAGCCGACCTGTGACAATGAAACTGTCACAGGTCGGCTCAGTAGATCGGGAGGTGAGCGAACACATACCAGGTTCGCTCACCTCTCGATCCTGTCACGGCTCTCTGCCGTGACAGGGGGAGGGGCTGGATTCCCCTCTCCCCGCTCCGATCTGCCAGCGCTGACTGGCGGAACGGACGGGGGAGGGGGCGGGTACAGCTGGCTCTGCCTCTAGATAGGCAGAGCCAGCTGTCACTCACGCAGCTGGGCGGATCCCGTCATCTACATCGGGATCCGCTCCGGCTGCGGCGTCTCAGTATACCGCGAGCTGTAGCTCGCGGTATACTGAGCTTAGGGTAACGGGAGGACGCTAGTTTGTCTCCTCCCGTTACCCTAAGGAGAACTATGGGGAAAACACTGACCCCATAGTTCTCCTTTAAGTATGGTAACTGCCATCTTGTAAAAATGATAGTTCCATGACTGTTATTAGAATGCTATAGCTTCAGTCATTTCTGATTTGCTGATTCGGAACGAGTTCTGATCGCCCTCTGATTTTCCTGATCTATAAGCGTGTTACAGATCTGTATCTTGGAAATTGTTTTTGCCGGGTAGCTAGCATTTTCAGAAGCAGGCCAGCAATGGCATCCTTCTCATTTCTGTTAGTGCCGGTCTGTCAGGTTCCTTTAAGCATTAAAGTGTATGTCAAGGCAAAACAAAAAATCTGTTTATATCTGCAATAAATGTATTTTTTTTTTTTTACATGGTTTTAAAAGGGAACTAGGGCCAAACCTTTTTTGACTGTAGTTTTGACTGTCACAGGAGCACATTTAGTAATATCCTCCTGTGACCCAAAACTCAGCATATAGCAGGCTATTGCCCACTATATGCTGACGGAGCAGAGCCATGCTGAGGCGGGGAAGGGTCAAGACACAAGGCAGAGGAGGGGAGACAGTGTCTCTGTGCTGCTTGTAAGTATTTGCATAGGTGCTTTAGATGGCTCAAGGGTGCCCTATAGAGAAACAAAGGTGACCTAAATGCTATGCAATTATCGTGCCAACTCTCCTGACTATTAGTACATTTTAATCAAACAAGAAATTAATAAACAATAAAACTATTTATTTACCTATTTATTGTCTTCAGGTGAGCCCAGAGGCTGATTTCGGGGTGGCTAATCTGAGGCGTCAGCTACTGGCCACAAATACTCCAACCTACCCACCTGTGTCTTACAATGGAACACAGAACACCCCATGTATCCTGTTCTGGGCCTCCAACATAACCCTACACTTGGAACAGACTTCAATGGACCTCACTGGGAGTACCTTCTCCGGGAGAGAACTCACTGAAGGATCCAGCTGCAGCCCTACTGACTCAGTGTGAGTGGACAGCACCTTTGTTCATAAAGTCAAATTGCACTCAAATTTCAAGCTGCATACCCCTATAGAGGTGTCTCTGGACTGCAAGAGCATAGCAGAAATTAGAGTGGAACTGTAATGAAATTAGAACACGCACTCACTTCTTTAAAGTCATAAAATGTACCAGTATTAAATAACTTCTAGCTATATTAAATAATGGCTCTAGAAGCCACTAGCATTCATTGGTCGATTAGTCCCTTAACTAAATGCTTAGGCATGCATGTTGAAGCAAACTTCAAACTTTTTTTTTATAGTATAGAATGGGGTGGTTTTCATCATGACAGAAAGGGAAGGGAAATCTCTCCCGTGGAGACATACGGCAGTAAAATAATTTGACCAATATTGTAACTTTTCTCCAAGCAATCCAAAACCAGATATTGTATGGAGTTGAGGTTTCACCAGTGAGCGCATACCATGAGAGCAATACAGGGCTGTCATTGCATGTCTGCTTAGGAAAATGCTAATTGCTTGACTATTGTGTTCACCCACTGGCTGCAGTACGCATCATTCTTTTTGGTTTGTTCTTGCTTGTTTCTCACTCTTTCCTTTTTTGTGTATGTGTCTTTTTTTTGTGTTTGTGGGGGGGGGGTCTGTTATAAATATGTGTATTAATATATGCTATCATTTTGCATTTGCAGGCTGGTCCTCAATTATGTGAACGGATTTAAAATTCAGTAAGTATGAGCAGAATTGCTGTAATTACCTAGAATCCTGAATTCAAGTGTTTTCAGTATGTACCCATTTTGTGCTGTTGTTCTGATATTTACCTGAAAGTATTATTTAATGGATGCTCCGTTTTCCCCTGCTTGCTGTTCCATATTTCTATCATAGAATTTCCTATACAGAGTTTTACATCCTCCCCCATCTATCTGTGTCTGACAAGTTTAAAGCCTTACTGAACAGCTGTCACAATACAACCAACCACAAACTAAGCAGGAACAATTTTTGGTTATTTCTTTCTTTATTTTGTAAGTTGAGTGCACACTGGAACTCACAGATTTACCAGCATTTAGCATGCGCTTGCAGCGTGCCCTGAAAGCTCCAAACCCACAATCCTTCTGTAAATATCAGCCTTTGCTCCAAAATTGCATGCAAGTAAAGAAGGCTTGGTGCTGATCGGTTAACTGGACAGGAACGGTTGGAAACCTTGGGCCTCACATATTGTAACCTGTATCTTCAGGGCTTACAATCTGTGGAAACTGTATAGTTATGCCTGAATGGTAATACTTTTACAGCTTGTGTACATAGTCATTTGTCTGCATCATAATACACTTAGCTGCTCAGATGACATACTTGTGCAAGCAAGTGTAATGGACCACACAGTTCAAAACCTCACTACACAGCCCGAGAGGCTGTCTAGCATCATAATGCTGGGTGGTCATTGGTGGAAGAAAAAAAAGTTCTTCTGGGTCATGGCCGCTTGCTACACACAACCTCTGGGGGCTTTGTAATGAATTTTTGTGTGGGCAGCGGGCAAATGTCATCTGTGCAGTTTAGTGTGGGGACACTGAAGGATCCAGCTGCAGCCCTACTGACTCAGTGTGAGTGGACAGCACCTTTGTTCATAAAGTCAAATTGCACTCAAATTTCAAGCTGCATACCCCTATAGAGGTGTCTCTGGACTGCAAGAGCATAGCAGAAATTAGAGTGGAACTGTAATGAAATTAGAACACGCACTCACTTCTTTAAAGTCATAAAATGTACCAGTATTAAATAACTTCTAGCTATATTAAATAATGGCTCTAGAAGCCACTAGCATTCATTGGTCGATTAGTCCCTTAACTAAATGCTTAGGCATGCATGTTGAAGCAAACTTCAAACTTTTTTTTTATAGTATAGAATGGGGTGGTTTTCATCATGACAGAAAGGGAAGGGAAATCTCTCCCGTGGAGACATACGGCAGTAAAATAATTTGACCAATATTGTAACTTTTCTCCAAGCAATCCAAAACCAGATATTGTATGGAGTTGAGGTTTCACCAGTGAGCGCATACCATGAGAGCAATACAGGGCTGTCATTGCATGTCTGCTTAGGAAAATGCTAATTGCTTGACTATTGTGTTCACCCACTGGCTGCAGTACGCATCATTCTTTTTGGTTTGTTCTTGCTTGTTTCTCACTCTTTCCTTTTTTGTGTATGTGTCTTTTTTTTGTGTTTGTGGGGGGGGGGTCTGTTATAAATATGTGTATTAATATATGCTATCATTTTGCATTTGCAGGCTGGTCCTCAATTATGTGAACGGATTTAAAATTCAGTAAGTATGAGCAGAATTGCTGTAATTACCTAGAATCCTGAATTCAAGTGTTTTCAGTATGTACCCATTTTGTGCTGTTGTTCTGATATTTACCTGAAAGTATTATTTAATGGATGCTCCGTTTTCCCCTGCTTGCTGTTCCATATTTCTATCATAGAATTTCCTATACAGAGTTTTACATCCTCCCCCATCTATCTGTGTCTGACAAGTTTAAAGCCTTACTGAACAGCTGTCACAATACAACCAACCACAAACTAAGCAGGAACAATTTTTGGTTATTTCTTTCATTATTTTGTAAGTTGAGTGCACACTGGAACTCACAGATTTACCAGCATTTAGCATGCGCTTGCAGCGTGCCCTGAAAGCTCCAAACCCACAATCCTTCTGTAAATATCAGCCTTTGCTCCAAAATTGCATGCAAGTAAAGAAGGCTTGGTGCTGATCGGTTAACTGGACAGGAACGGTTGGAAACCTTGGGCCTCACATATTGTAACCTGTATCTTCAGGGCTTACAATCTGTGGAAACTGTATAGTTATGCCTGAATGGTAATACTTTTACAGCTTGTGTACATAGTCATTTGTCTGCATCATAATACACTTAGCTGCTCAGATGACATACTTGTGCAAGCAAGTGTAATGGACCACACAGTTCAAAACCTCACTACACAGCCCGAGAGGCTGTCTAGCATCATAATGCTGGGTGGTCATTGGTGGAAGAAAAAAAAGTTCTTCTGGGTCATGGCCGCTTGCTACACACAACCTCTGGGGGCTTTGTAATGAATTTTTGTGTGGGCAGCGGGCAAATGTCATCTGTGCAGTTTAGTGTGGGGGGGGGGGGGGGGGAGGTGTTTTTACCAGTGTCATTGAGACAAAGTGATGGGAAATCCTACATTTTAGAGTTGTCATGAGAGCAAGAAGTGAGGGAAAACCTTCCAAAAGTGAGAACTGTTCTGGTGACAACTGTCTAGCTTGGGAATTCTAATCACTTTAAGAAGATTTCCTTTGACTGCTAGTTGTGTCTTCAAGACTGGAAGGGTTTCACCAGTGTCACTGAGACAAAGTGATGGGAAATCCTACATTTTAGAGTTGTCATGAGAGCAAGAAGTGAGGGAAAACCTTCCAAAAGTGAGAACTGTTCTGGTGACAACTGTCTAGCTTGGGAATTCTAATCACTTTAAGAAGATTTCCTTTGACTGCTAGTTGTGTCTTCAAGACTGGAGCGAAAGTGAACTCTCCATAGCAGGGAAGGAATTCTATACTTTACAGGTTTAAAGAAGAACAAAATAACCCTTAGGCTGCATTCATACTTAAGCGACGCCTATTACGCACGTTTTTTGTGAGCTTTTTCTGCGCGGCTTTACAAGCAGATTGTGGCATATTCGTGTGCATGGGCAAAACGCGCTGAATCTGCTCAAAAATAATTATACCGTGTTTTTCAAGCGTTTTCTATCGAGTCAATGGGGAGAAAACGTGCTGAATCTGCCCCAAAGTAGCTCATGTAGTATTTTGTGCGACGGGCATTTTTTTTGCTTGAGACAAAACGTCCAGGTGTGAGCAGGGACCATAGAACAGAATGGGATTCCTGGGGTTGAGCGTCTTGTTGCGCAGATTGACGTGCAAAAATTAGCTTAGGTGTGAATTCCTTACAGTGAGGCAACCCCCCCTTTCCCACTGCAAGGGTTACATTCTCAATTTGGTCTAGGGTCTAAAATAAAAAATATATACTTGCCTGATCCTTGATCCTGTGGCAATTATCTTTCCCCTCTCTTCTCCGCTCTGGCTGTGGTATGTCCCTCGATGTCCTCACTTCCAGTGCAAGTCAATGGACTTGTATTAACCACTTGCTGACCGGGGTGTTAAACCTTCTTCCTGGCCAGGCCATTTTTCAGTATTCAGCACTGTGGTACTTTGACATTTATTCCGTCATGCAACGCTGTACTGAAATTAATTCTATACCATTTTTGGGGACAGATGGAGCTTTCTTTTGGTGGTATTTAATCACCACTGGGGTTTTTATTTTTTAATATATAACGAAAAAAGTACCAAAAATAAAAACTTTTCCCTTCATTATGTTGGGAAACATTTATTATTACCCAATTATTTGGTAAAATATAAAAGACGGGGTCACGTCAGGTAAATAGACACCAAACATATCAAGCCTTAAAAATGCGCACACTCTCAAACTACCATACCCAAATTTGGCCCTATGCGACACTTTAAAAGTTTTTACCACTCATCATTTTTGTCTCATCAGTGACTGATGGCCCTAGAATTATTGCTCTCACTCTGATGTTCGCGTTGATATGTAACATGTGCTACACAATGGGTGTAATCGTCATTTTCGCACGTAGGCACATCTGACGCGTATGTGTATGTGGTGGGGGGCACAGGGGAAATTTTTTTTTTACACTTCACTTTATTGCCATCACATAAGGGTCTACGAAGCCCCCTATGTGATAGCCGATTTACATGACAACTCCTCTTTATGGAAACATCAGGGGTGTTCAAGACCCCTAATGTCACCTAGGGACCCCCCGGAGAAGCTGATGAAGCAGAGATCTGCTTCTCCCCAACTTCTGTAGCCGGTAAATGACAGCTGAACGCGGAAATGATGTAATATAAATCACTTCCTGCATTCTGACACCGGAGAGGAGAAAATACAAGCGATCAGGCGCCTCTACAGACGCCGAAACGCTTGTATGTAAACAGCCATCGCTGGCTGTTTACATTTTTACTACACTTGATCTTAGCCAAAAGGCCGAGAAGTGATTGGCTGTTTACATTTTTGACAGTTTCCCCACTCGTGTGCAGCGACCGGCGCCACGCATGAGTGAGGGGCGGGGAAGAACATCTTAAAACACCCACCCGCATCTACAAGCCTCCCGTCCGGCAGATTAGGTACGGCCAATGGACGGGAAGTGGTTAAACATGAGGATGTCAGCGAGGCTTAGACTTCCAGAGCCCAAGGAAGGCGAGGCTGCGGGAACCTGTCTTAACAGCCAGGTAGGATTGAGGATTGGGTGAGTATATCCTCTTAATTTATTTTTATTTTAGGCCAAAACGAGCAGTTAACCCTTGCAGTGCAGTTTGTAATTTGCCCAGAGTCCCTCTTTAAAGGAAGATAACTTCCAGTATGTGATTTTACGTAGACTTTCCTGATGTCTGCGTACACAGGGGCATAGATCTACAGTCATTTGACAGTAACCACCTGACACCGCAATGTTAGATAAGTGTTGTGTTTTGAAATAAAAAATGTCTCCCTGTCCTCCTGAGGGGCAAAAAGCAGCGAGTAGTGGACCTCTGCACTGTACTTGAGGACTCGTAGATATCTGGGAGAAGACTTTCTCACTCTTCCTTTATTTCCATCCACCTCTTTTCTATAGATTCCATCTGAACAGCCGCAGGTACAACGTGTCAGCACGCTTTTGGTCCACTTTGACCCGTGTAGTGGTCATTAACGGAACTGAAAACGCCACATTCTTTGCTCCCCAAGTGAGCACTCCCAGGAACTATTCCTTCCACTGTCAGTATATCAGCAGTTTACCAGCATATGGTGCAATCCTGATCAATAACAGCAGCCGGGACTCTCCTGGAACAAAGTGGAATCTCCACATCACCGATTTCCAGGTAAGCCGAAGCTGGAACCATTTCATATGCTTGCACACATTTTAAATTGAATGTGTTGTCCTGTTTGTAACAAACCTTTTGCCATGATTTAGCAGCATGCCAATGTGTAAAACTGCCAAGTGTATTGTATAGTTGTCTGCAGTATGTCAGTTTGCCAGCAGGGGTTGTCTTGACTCATCTTGTCTTTTGTACCAGATCCAGGGCTTCAACGTCACTGGCCTCAAGTTTTCCTATGCCAGCGACTGTGCCAGCTTCTTCACCCCTGGCATCTGGATGGGGCTCATCACCACGCTGCTCTTTGTCTTCATCCTGACCTACGGGCTACACATGGTTATGAGTCTGAAGACCATGGATCGCTTTGACGATCCTAAAGGACCTTCTATCTCTGTACCCCAGACTGATTGATCCTTCCGCACAGGCCACCAGCCCATCTAACGATCTGGCCATACCTGAATGTCACATGACTTCCATCCATCTCTACAGCCCCACTGCACCTACATTCCAGATTTTTCGTGTGTGTGTGTGGTCTCCTGCAAAAGCTGATGAATTTTACAATGAAAAATCTCATCAGGCCATAAGTTAATGAGGAAATGTGAACAGCCCCTATTTTCTTTACTTCAATAGGACTTTGGTAGGTAATGTGTCTGTTAAATTTTCCTTTGGTTTGGTTGAGTGAAGGAAGCCATCCTAATGTCTAAACTAGCATCCAGCTTGTCAATCCTCTAATGTAACTTAATTTATTAGGCACTAGATTAGAAGTAGAGTCCATACTTGTTAGCAAATCAGTTTAATGGTAAGTTGAGAAAGGTGGCTGCCGTTCTCCTGGTTGACGTAAGAGGAGCAATCTCTTAAAAAAAAAAAAAATTGTATTAAAGAGAACTAGTCATGACTGGGCTTATCCAAGAGCCTGAATATTGAAGCTTGAAATGTTATTTGAAGTCTGCAGGGCTACATAATGTAATTATATGATGATTCGTGTTCTCTTTATTACCCAGGGTCTATTTAATGTCTAAAAGCAGTCCCTAAAAACTCGGATCATTTTGTAACACGTTAATGTAATTTCAAAAGTCATATATTTAATGCTGCAGCCTTCATTAAAATAATACCTGGTGATCCTGCCATGAAGGAACTTGCTTAAGTTGTTAAAAGGTAACAACACTGTCCCTGTCTCCCAATTGAGCTCCTGCGTTGTCACCCTGTCATATTCCAATGGAGACTACAAGTGGGCATTTCAATGCACATTACACAGGCTTGGTCTTCTGTTGTCAATATCGGGAAACCCACCCTGAGAATACCATGCAGCCATAACTAAATTGCATGCATGAGACAGAAATTGGCTGCAGGAAATAAGAGGCACTGAAATACAACAAAGGCTTGTGTGTCCTGACTCACACACTCATGCTGGAAGACAGCACAGTAAATATCAGACTTTAGGTAATCTCCTACTCAAGCTAAAGAGATGCAGGCAAAGAAAATAAAAGCTAATTCAGTGGACAAGTGTCAATCTTCAATAAGTAGCAAGCCAATTGTATTAAGACTTAATATTCAGACTCTTATGCAGGCATAATTTAAACTTAAGGCAGATCCTAATACCAGTACGCTATAAAATGGACAGTGAAACCAGTGTTATTACCAACCAGTCCCATCAAAACTGATATTGTGCTCCTGAATGTCTAAATGATCTCACTGCACTATTCTATCTCCCAAGGATCCCTCCAGTAAGACTTTTCTATTGGAATGCATGGCTTTGCCTGCTTGCTTTAAAAAGGATCTGTAGTCAGGCATTGTCTGACGCACCGGAAAAGCATAAATGTCTGTCTTTTAAGAGACTTTGGCAGAGACCATGTGACCAATGCCTATTGGATCATGTGGCCAACTGCCAGAGGGAGGGCAGAACATTAGCTTCTTTACAAAAAAAGTTAACATTTGATTTTCTCTTTTTATGAGGTTCATGTAACTTGACTGTGAGGATTGAAGAGGGTTCCACTGTAACTCTAGGTCCTCTTCTGGTGCTGTCTCCATAAATGATTATATATCTAACAGGAAGTCTGACCCTCCCGGGAGCTTAGGTGCAGATTTCCTGGCCAGGGCCTCTTGGAGATCTGAAACTGCCTGGTGATGAAAGTCAGCAGCTTCATTTCAGGTAGACTAACCGTGTCCAGTCTAATGCATAAACCTAACCACGTATGTTTCTCTGTCTGTGCCTACTCCTTCCACGTGAACCATGTTGTAATCCCCGCAATGCCCATCAGAGGGCAGCAATTTGATGTATAAATTCCCTAGACAGTGTATATAGTATAAAGTGCAGAAATCTATTTATTTGTGTTTTGGTATAACGCTGGTAAAACAACCCTGGAAGTTAGCAGGCTGTATTTTCTAGGCATGCTGGGATTGGTAGTTCCACAACAGCCACTAAGCCTGTGATTTTAGTAGATGTTTGTTTTGTTAAATGCATTGGTGTTCAGGTACCAGACTGTATCTGCAATGTAAAGTGTTCTATGAGATCTGTGTGATTTACCTCTGTAACTCTTCACTGTATAACTTATGAGGAATGGAATAAACTGTTGCTGTGTACTGTTAATTGTCTTGTTTTGTCTTTATTACCTCAAGCTGTATTCATAGCAGGGGAAAATAATGCAGTCACAAGATTAAAAACAAGCATTGCATTTATTTTACTGTAAATACTGCTAGTATAAGCACCTGAATCTACAGTATATTAGCTTCATGCAATCACATCCACAGCAGGAATCAAACTGGAAGTGGGAGGGGTCATAGTGTGGTCCTGTCAGGTTCTATTGCATTGTACCATGATGTCTTTGGAACACTGGGAGTTTGCTGACAGCAGAGTATTATACTCATCGGTGTGGCGATGCTCCTTCACTGGCCGATCAGCAGGCAGAGGGTGGGTTAGTGACCAGGCTGTATTGCTTAACTGCAGTGGAGAAGACTAGGGTCACTGACCTAGCTGCGCTTGTCTGGTAGGTGTCTCTAGGTCGCAAGAGTGACCCATTTGTTTTTACATATGCTTTGACAGGTAAAACAATTCACACATATGTATTACACATGTACATTTAGGTAATTACCTGGAATTCCTCTTTTAAGTCATTCAAAACCCTATAATACAGAAAAAATACATGGAAAGAACATCCATTGATACTAAATAAAAGGCGGTAAGAAGTAAGATTTAAAGTTCATATGCTTAGTCCATGTACGTTTTATCATTTTCCAGCATCGCCCAAATTATTGTTTGCTGGCGCGACAGACAAATTGATATCCTTTCCAAATGCATTAAATGTAATGTCATGGTCTCATTTACTTTCCAGAAGAGTGACAGGCTCTCCTAGAATTGATTTTTTTTCTTTTTTTTTTTTCTTACAACCTCCCTCCCCCATCCATTTATTGCAGAATTGCAATTCTCTCTGCTTGTAGTTAATGTTTCTCCTTTGACAGAGGCAGATGTGGTGATAGGCCAGGCTAATTAAATGGACATCTGTCACTCCTTTCAGTGAAGTGACTGGTATGCAGGACTTGGACAGCGCCATAAGGAAATGTGATAACTTCACGGATCATACTAAGGTCACGTGATACAAATGGAAGCTGGTAGTCCTGTGAGAACAGCGGGCAAAATATTGATGAACCCAAAACAAGACAGAAAGCGATAAATAGCATATTTATTGGTATAACCCGGGATATATAATATAGTAAGCAAATAATTGTATCCCATAGTAGCTGGAAGTTATTGGAGGGAATGTAGGGTATTGTTATTAGAGAGCTAGCCAGATAATTAACAGGAAACACAGGACACTGTTGCATATTATTAGGGAATAGGATATATGGAGATGTTGAATCCTGGTGGGCAAGGGTGCTCTATGTCGTCATGCACAATCCCACAGGGACAGATAAAAGGAACACTGCATGTGGAGTTTAAAGGCTACACAGGGTTCTTGTGGAGCAGAAGAATATATATCCTGGTAAAATTAATTATATATATATATATATATTAACAGTGACCTCTAGAAACATGTAACAGAAAAATATTAGGATGTAAACAATATAGCAAAATATGACCTAATATGAATCTTAGTTAATCTGTGGTTACATGGGATAGCGCACAGACATCATTACAGAGGTGTGCTAAATAGCAAGCTTGCTATTTCAAAATAAGGTATACTGTATTATTCTTAGGTGCTGAACTCAACACCTGATCGTAAGCTTGATGTTTTACAATACAGTATTTCTTTCTCATCTACTGAGGGACACAGGAAGTCATACTGTAGGGTTATACTGCCTCCTACAGGAGGCAAACAAAAAAAATGTAAGCCAGCCCAGGATAACTTTTTTTGTTTGTTTTGTTGATAGTTTTCTAGGAGGATGGACATCTTTTCTCTGCTGGAAAAAGTCTAAAGACCTTTTACTAGGATGTGTACCTGCGTGTCTTTCTAGTGCTTCTTGCACTTTGCTGTGGAACCTTAGCACTTCCAGTGTGTAGCCTTTTTATTTGGCCTATCTTAAATACCTTGAGTGTTCACTAAGGTCCTGGCCTTATTTCTCTCTCAGGGCACCCCGATGCGGGATATTTAGACAACCTCCTGTTGAGGTTGTTGGCACATAATTGTCCTTATTGACCTTGCAGAGGTTCAGATAGATTCAAAGGCTTCAGAACTTGGCGATGGAACCAACTCATCACTTGGAATATCTGGGTTCTAGTGCTAGACACAGCTTAAGTCAGAGGCTTTTTTTGTTTGTTTGTTTTTACCCCCAGGAGACTATTCAGACTTTCCGCTCCCAGACTCATACTCTTCGGTTCAGAAGTTATCCAACTCTTCACTTTTGCATGAGAGTGCTGGGGCTGACTGACTCCGAGGCAGTCCCATTTGTCCAGTTTTACAACAGACCCTTACAACACAACATTCAACACCGTTGGTCAGATCAATTCACCTGGCACAGAAGACTAGGTTGTTCCAGGCCAGGTGGCTGATGAATCCGGCTGTGTAGTTTGGGAAGTCCTTCCTTCCTGTGTTTTGGAGGATCCTCATGACAGATGCCAGCCTGTTGAGCTGGGGAGTAGTCCAGGACACACTATCGGTAAATGGGATTAGATGTCAGAGGAACCACGTCTCCCGATAAACATTCTGGAACGTTGGGCAATTTGTTTGTCTCTGCAGCGGTGTACATCCCTAATAGAAGGCCATCCAATTTGGATTCAGGTGAACAGTGCCACAGGAGTAGCTTATATCGAACATCCTGGAGGAATGAGAAGTCGCGCCATGGCAAGAGGTAAAGCAGATACTGTCTTGGGCAAATCTTCACGTTCCAGCCTTGTATGCCGTTTACATCCAAGGTGTGCAAATGCCAGGCAGACTTCCTCAACAAATTTACCATCCTGCTTCATAGTCACTGGTTTTAATGGCATGGCTGCTAAAACCCAGAGGCATCTCTGAATGAGTTATTTGCACAATGCTAAAAGCTAGGAAGTCTAGTTATCTAAAGGTCTATCACCCAACCTGGAAAGCATTCTTTACTTGCAAAGCAAGAGGCTTTCACGCTAGGAAATTCTCCATGCGACAAACCCTTGACTTTTTGCAGATAGTCTGTACCAACATTTGGAAGTGAGCACCATTAAGGGTCAGGTCTCTGATCTGGCAATCTTGAGACCACTGGCGTCCTGTTTTTTTGATCAAATGCTTTGTGCAGGTGTCTCCCATGTTGCTTTCCTGTGACTCTTTGGTTCACTCAGTGCTTTGATCCTATCAGGGGTACAGCCTTCCTGTCTCATTGTGAACACAGAGCAGACCAGAGAATGGATGTTATCTGGTCTGCTCCCTGCTCTCTATCCTGTAATGTCCCGTGGTCCTGGGTCCCCAAAAACCATGGGGGGGGGGACCAGCAGGCTAATTACAAGTGATCTGGGTGGTTGTTCAGTCCCCGAGATCACTTGTACAAAACGAGCACCGGGTCCCCCACTTTACACTAAGCACTGATTGCCCGAAGCAGGGTTAATGTAGAAAAAAAAACACCCGCCCGATGCCCGGAACTGCATTTCCCAGGTGTTAGGTGATAGGAATTCAACACCCCTGACAGTACTGTGTGTGGACCCCCTGGACTGGTTATTGCTGTGATAGCCTGGAAGTGACCTTCAGGCACTGGGCTCCACGTGGAGAGCTTTCCAAACTCTGTTCTAGTGAAAGTTACTGTAGCTAATGAGCACTTTTCATGTCCAGAGCCGCTGACAGAACTTCACGTTCTAGCCTTGTCAGCCATGTACATTTCAAGAGTAGACAACTGGCATGCAGATGTTCTCAGCCAGCAGCGTCTAGACCTAGGGGAGTAGTCCTTTATCTCGCTTTATTTGTTCTCTTGTGACTCCTCGAAATCTGAATCTGTTTTTTTCTGTGCTTTGGAAACTGCCATTTGAACTCATTAGAGACATTCCTCTCTCTACCCATAAGGTTGTCATTACCTTTGTGAGGTGATTATCTGAACTGAGGGTCCTATACTGCAAAGAATCCTTTCTGGTTTGGCATAGGGACAAGTTGGTGTTGAGTCTCTGGGCTTCCTTCGTGCCTATGATAGTTTCTACCTTTCACCTCAACCAGAACATTGAGGTGTCACAGCTTCATTTCACCAAAAGAAAATGTTCCTTCGTTGTCTGGATGTGGTTCTGTCTGGTTGTGGGATTTTATCTCTCATCCACTGATTCTATCAGAAAGACAGGTTGCCTTTTTGTCATTCAGGGTAGTCGCCAAAGGGTGCCCAGGCTTCTCATTCCACCTTCTCTAGGTGGTTCCGGCAGACCATCATTCAAGCTTATGGTTTCATGGATCGGCTTCCACCCTCTCCTGTCATGCCACACTCTGCTAGATCTGTGAGAGCTTCTCGGGGTCTTTGGCGTCAAGCAACAGTTACTCAGGTTTGCAAGGCTGTCACCTGGTCTTTGATTTACATGTTCTACAACTTCTACCAGGTAGACATTTCGGCCTTATCTGATGCCATTTATGGACACAAGGTCCTTCAGGCCGCTTTTCTAATTGTAGGCAGCCCCCAGTTCTGTTGTTCTCTTGCCGATTAGAGTATGTTTGCTGTGTTACCCATGTAACTTCTTTTAGAAATCCGGAAGGTTTCAGACTTCCTGTGTGCCGCAAAAGGACGAGAAACAAAATAAGGTTTTTGTTCCCGCCATAAAATCCTTCTCTTGGAGTTCACTGAGGGACGCGGGTCTCATTCCTCTGTGTTTATGATCATGCTTTTGGCACTGCTTTGCTACAAAACTGGGACATGCTGGTAGTAGGAAGAGTTATCCTTGGCTCCAGGGGAGTCCCGAGGTCGGGTGTCACCCGGTCTCTCGGTCGGGTGACACCTTGCCCTGTCATCTTTGCACATGTGCGTGATGTCACCTTGTGTATGGGCGATGATGCCATCACGCATTGTGCGACCGGGTGATTGACGCCTGCCGGCGGCCATCTTGGTGATGGACGGCAGCAGAGAGAGGAGAGGACGTTCTGTCGGGTCCCCTCCTCTCTCCTGACACTTTCGGGCTCTCGGCCCATGACCGAGTGCCTGACTTTTTAGAGGGGGGGTGACGCCAAACTGTCACTCATTTTGGTGTCACCCCTGCAATGGTGACACCCGGGTGCGGGCCGCACCCCCCTTGTGACGCCACTGCTTGGCTCCTATGACTTCCTTCTTTTCTCTATGAGCTCCAAGGAAAGGATTTCACAGTGAGTAAACAAGTCCTTATTATGTTCTGGTAAATCTAATGGACATTGGACAATGTGTATGGGCAGTGTAAGGTCAAGTCAGATCAGTACAAACTGGATTCTGATTGGTTGCTGGGGATACAGTACTTTAGAATTAGGACTCTTATATAATAGGGCGGCCATTATATGTAAGGTTTATATAATATACAGCAGGTATTGGTGGTGTATAAATGGTACAACGCTGTATATTTGGAGTAAACGTCACATGTGAGTGAAACTGGAAAAGCAAGCTGTTTAATCCCGGATATTGGTGACATAAGTTTACGTGAGATACATTGAGGGGAATTTATCAAAACTGGAGCAGACAAAATCTGGAGCAGCTGTGCATGGCAACCAATCAGCATCCATCTTTAATTTTCAAATCTTAACAGAACAAACGGAAGAGAGAAGCCGATTGGTTGCCATGGGCAACTGCTCCAGTTTTTATACATTCTCCCCACTGTCTATAACTTGATGTTATTGGCATTATAAGATACATTGGGAGGGATTCATGAAACCTGGAGGAGACAGAATCTGGAGCAGTTGCCCATAGTAACCAATCAGCTATCTTCAGTTTGTTCAGTTAAGCTTTAAAAATGAGAGCTGATTGGTTGCCATGGGCAACTGCTCCAGATTCTGTCTGCTCCAGTTTTGATAAATCCATCTCATTGTATATAACCTGTGATATACAGGACATTGTATTGTTCTTTTTACATGCATCCATCCACATGCAAGGTAACCAACCGATCAGCGCCTCTCTTCAATTTGTTCAGTTAAGCTTTGAAAATGAAAGCTAGGAGCTGATGGGTTACTATGGGTGTCTGCTCCAGTTTTGATGAATCCCCCTCCCCCATTGTATGTAACCTGATAATATTGTCATTAGATACATAGGGGGGAATTTATCAAAACTGGAGCAGACAGAATCTGGAGCAGCTGTGTGTAGTAACCTCTCAGCTTCTATCATTCATTTTCAAAGCTTGTTCACACCAAATGCAGAGCAGATCTGCATGGGTTTCTGCACACGCAGTGCAGTGGGTTGTGCCGCGTTTTTGACGCATTTATGTGTTCCGGGCTGTTTTTGGTAAAAAATAAAATATTTTTTTGTTTTAGTTTAAAATGGGCTTTTAGTGCGTTCCAGGAATTTGCATGCGTTTTTGGTGCGTTTGCATGCATTCCAGAGCAGGTAAAATGGGGCCTGCTGCAGTTTTTTTTACCTGCTCTGGACCTGAACGCTGCGATGTGAACTGGAGCAAAAAATACCATTGGAATACATTGGACGCAGTTTTGCTCCGGTCTGTAACTGCTCTGCACCTGCTACCCGCTTGGTGTGAACAAGGCCTAACTGAACCACCTGAAGAGAGAAGCTGATTGGTTACTATGAGCCAACTGCTCCAGTTTTGATAAATCCCCCCTATTGTCTATAATCTGATGTTATTGACAGTGAGGGGAATTTATCAAAACTGGAGCAGACGAAAACTAGAGCAGCTGTGCATGGCAACCAATCAGCTTTTCTCTTTTTCATTTTTGGATCTTAACTGAACAAGCTGAATAGAGAAGCTGATTGGTTGCCATAGGCAACTGGTCCGGATTCTGTCTGCTCCAGATTTGATACATTCCCCCCATTGTATCTAACCTGCTGATATTGGCATACAGGACATTGTATTCCAGGTACTGAAGTATGATACAAGGCCGATCTGTGGGGTAATAACCCTAATATACTGGGCTCAGACCACATTCTGGATACAGATGAACAGAGCACTGCTCGGTGGATAAATGTCATTAGAGCATCTCCAGGGAAGATGATGCAGCGCGGAGGGATCTTCATCTCCAGCCTCATCACCAAGGTCATCCACCCTGTCCATCCTCCCCTGACACAGCTGCCCGTTCCGCGCCCCGCTCACTCCCTATTGCTCCGGGTGCCCCCCGGTACCCCTCAGTCCCCCTACTTGCGCCTCCCCCTGCCCTCTGTCCCCTCTCCGGGGCTCCTCCAGCCTCAGAAGGCCCCGGCTCTACATCGGGGACTACTTGTCGTCGCGGAGGCAGACTGGGCGGTGCTGCCGTGCAGCCATCTTTGGTCCATTTCATTTCAGCTGTGCTAGAGGCAGAGGTAGCGCTACCCCCGGGCACCTACCCCCAGGATGGACGAAGAGTACGATGTCATTGTGCTGGGCACCGGTCTGACAGTGAGTATTAGGAGGGTGCACCTGTGAGGTGGCACTGCAGCCTCCCCTTCATTGTGCCATGCACTGGGCTCTGCAATGGGGTTCTGCCTTCCCCTGGGACCTATGGCCATTTTTTGGGGTTGCATTCATGTAAGCCTGGGCCATGTAGGTGCTGGCATGCCCTGCCCAATGGTGCAATTACTGGGCTCTGATATTCCCTGTGCCATCAGCTGGGATGTGTCATCATGGGGGTTCCATTTATTGAGAGATTGGCTTTGTAACTATTTAAGAACTACAAGTATCAGCATGCCTTACCTCATTGTGCTATGACTGGACATTGCCATCCCCTGTGCCATCTGCTGGGATGTATTATAATCATGGGTGGGCCTGCTATTGAGACATAGGCATTGTACTCATTGTAGAACTACAAGTATCAGCATGCCTTACCTCATTGTGCTATGACTGGACATTGCCATCCCCTGTGCCATCTGCTGGGATGTATTATAATCATGGGTGGGCCTGCTATTGAGACATAGGCATTGTACTCATTGTAGAACTTCAGGTATCAGCATGCCTTACCTCATTGTGCTATGACTGGACATTGCCATCTGCTGGGATGTATAATCATCATGGGTGTTTCTGCTATTGAGACATAGGCCTTGTAGCCATTGTAGAACTACAAGTATCAGCATGCCTTACCTCATTGTGCTATGATTGGACAATACCATAGGACTTTGCCATCTGCTGGGATGTATAATCATCACAGGAATTGCATTTTTTCAGCACAGACTTGGGGACCATTGCAGAACTACAAGTATCAGCTCCACTGCTTCATTGTGCAATGACTAGACACTGCCACTCCCTGTGCCATCAGCTAGGTCATATAACCATCATGGGGGTTCTAATTATTGAGGACAGGCCTTGTTACCATTGAAGAACCACAAGTGCCAGCATGCCATGCTTCATTGTGCAGTGACTGCACACTACCATCCTCTGTGACACCGGCTAGGTGTTATAATCATCATGGGGGTTCAATCTATTGGGGACAGGCCTTGGAGAACTACAGGTATCAGCATGCTCTGCTTCATTGTGCAATGACTGTACACTGCCATCCCCTGTGCCATCAGCCAGGTCATATAGTCAGTGTGGGTGATCCATGTATTGAGTAACCACTAAAGAACTACAAGTGCCAGCATGCCCTGCTTCATTGTACAATGACTGGATATTGTCATAGGGGCACCGCCATCCCCTGACATCTACTCATCATGGGGGTGTCATTTCTTGAGGACAGGCCCTGGTAGTTGTTGGGGAAATACAGGTACAGGTATGCCCTGCCCCATTGTGCAGTTACTGAGCACTGCCATAGGACACTGGCATCCCTTGTGTTATCTAATGGAACATCTAGTCATCATGGGTGTTGCTTTCAATTATGTAACCACTGGGGAACTACAGGTATCAGCATGTTCTGACCCCCATCGTCAGCTCCGCCTCTCCTGTGCTGTATAGGTGTGGGGCTATCACACATATCCGCAGGCGTATCCTGACCGTATGGTCCCTCTGATGTCATCTGCTCTGCAGACAGATATAGAATGGCCACATATTGTATTTCTGGATTATGGGAGTGTGTGGCAAATGGGGGGACTACAAGTGTCAGCCCGCTTTATTAGACAACAGCTGGGCACTTAACTGTCAGCGAGAAGACATCTTCATTTGCAGTAAAGCTGGTAAACATGGCCGTTGTAGCTTCCGGGGAACTACAAGCACCAGGATGGCCTCCTGAGCTCATCTTTAAAGAACAATGGCGGCCATGCACTGGGCAGGGATGGCTAAACAATACTGTAAGCAATTCACAAGAGTCAGGAAAGTCTCCCTGTTTATTAGAGAACTACAAGCTCCAGCATGACCAGACACCGTAGTGGAACACTGATGTCACTTTTGTGGTCAGCTAAGTGTTATCATATGCCATGCATTTGTTTAAGATTGGAGAACTAGCAGTATCAGCATGGCGTACTTTGCTGGGCAGTGCCATGTCCTGCCACCTTATTATATAATAATCCTTTGCAATCCATATATTTCAACACTTGACCTGACAGCCTCCCTTTATTTTGCAGCAGGCCTCTTGCTATCACTATTATCTAGATGATTCTTATTAAAGTGTATTTGGCCATTATAGACTCCCAAAGCCTCTGGGGAACTACAAGTCTCAGCCTGTGGGCCCTCTGTCATTGTGCCTGTAGTGGAGGCTCCAGCCAGTCCCTGCCCGGTACAAAGCAGCGTTCCAACCTACGGACTTGTATGGGCATGGTAGCCGATATTCTATAGAACTAAAAGTCCCAGCATGTCCCCTGAGTGCATGGCTTCCTGCTTTAGAACGTCTCATGCAAGGTGACGATCTGATATTTGGTGACAACACTAGTTTTGTTTATTCATGAGGCAATGCAAAGTATATTTTTGTTGCGGGGTAATGGGGAATAGCATTGCAGTGCTGGATGGCTTGTAAAGTGTGATAAAAGCCGAGTATAATGAGACTGGAGGGGTGTCACCGTGCAGTCTCTGGCACAGCGGAGGGGAGCGGTGACAAGGCATGTACTGATGCAAGCTGCAGGTTTTCTGATGACAGCGACTGGCTGATTTAGTAAGGCAGTGCACAGCGGTGATGTGTCATGTAGTAACCTCTAGCAACCAGATGGCTCTTTACTAGAGGCAGAGCTGGGAAACATGAGCACTGATTGGCTGCTGAGGATCTTTGCGCTTTGCCCAATAGAACAAGCCAGCGATTTTTGCTCTCTCCTTGGTGCTGAATGAGTTAATAGCACATCGGGCGGATCCACCCTTTTGCCCACATGGAGATTGGGATGCCCGTGGTGCCGGGATGATGGGTGGGTGGCAGCTTGCAGCCTGGGAATTGATATTTCGGCAGCTTTGGTTGTGTTTTTGCCAGGCGTTGTAACGGGTCTGTGTGCTGGAGGTGGCGGCTCTTTCTCTAGCTGGACGCTCTCACTGATGAGTGTCAGGTTTCTGTCAGCAGAAAGGATGTCTACATCCTGGAATTCCAGCTACACACACGCGTTCATGCAAAGCTTCCTGCCAGGGTGTCACCAAGCAACATGATACTGTCAGGAGTCACGTGGCACTGTGACACTCTCCATAGCAAGCAGAATGACAGGAGTCACACAGTAACAGGATGTCTATGGATAGTGTCGGGGTCACACAGTAACAGAATGTCTCTGTGGTTAGTGTCGGGGTCACACAGTAACAGGATGTCTCTGTGGATAGTGTCGGGGTCACACAGTAACAGGGTGTCTCTGTGGATAGTGTCGGGGTCACACAGTAACAGGATGTCTCTGTGTATAGTGTCGGGGTCACAGAGTAACAGGGTGTCTGTGGATAGTGTCGGGGTCACACAGTAACAGGATATCTATGGATAGTGTCGGGGGCACACCGTAAAAGGATGCCTCTGTGGTTAGGGGCATAGTGTCGGGGTCACACAGTAACAGGATGTCTCTGTGGTTAGTGTCGGGGTCACACAGTAACATGATGTCTCTGTGGATAGTGTCGGGGTCACACAGTAACATGATGTCTCTGTGGTTAGTGTCGGGGTCATATAGTAACAGGATGTCTCTTTGGTTAGTGTTGGGGTCACACAGTAACAGGGTGTCTCTGTGGTTAGTGTCGGGGTCACATAGTAACAGGATGTCTCTGTGGTTAGTGTCGGGGTCACACAGTAACAGGATGTCTCTGTGGATAGTGTCGGGGTCACACAGTAACAGGATGTCTCTGTAGATAGTGTCGGGGACACACAGTAACAGGATGTCTCTGTGGTTAGTGTCGGGGTCACACAGTAACAGGATGTCTCTGTAGATAGTGTCGGGGACACACAGTAACAGGATGTCTGTGGATAGTGTCGGGGTCACATAGTAACATGATGTCTCTGTGGTTAGTGTTGGGGTCACACAGTAACAGGATGTCTCTGTGGTTAGTGTCGGGGTCACACAGTAACAGGATGTCTCTGTGGATAATGTCGGGGTCACACAGTAACAGGATGTCTCTGTGGTTAGTGTTGGGGTCACACAGTAACAGGATGTCTCTGTGGTTAGTGTCGGGGTCACACAGTAACAGGATGTCTCAGGTCACTGCAGCACATTGTGAACGGGCCATCAAAGATAATGGGGGGAATTTATCAAATCTGGAGCAGTTGCCCATGGCAACCAATCAGCATCTCTCTTCAGTTTGCTCCGGTAAGATTTGAAAATGAGACAGAGAAGCTGATTGGTTGCAGTGCAAATCTGCTCCAGATTTTGTCTAACCCTGTATTGATAAATTCCCCCCTGTGTCTTGAAGAAAGACTATGGCAGCTGCTGTAAATTGCTACAAAGAAGCTACAACAGAGCTGTCCTGGTCCGGTGGCAGCTGGCGCTCCTCCTCACCCCAGCTCCAGAATGTGGACGGGCCCTCCACATCATTACATACAATACAGAACCAGAGTTGGCCGCATTGTACATGATCACAGTGAGGGAGTGATCACATGACCAGAAAAGAGGAATGGCTTCATGTGACTGGTCATCCATACCAGGAAGCCCCCAGTGTAAAACAGAAAAAGAAAACGTAATGAGTACATTTCTGCCATACATGAACATTTCCCCGTGTTTCATCCCTTTAATGACCCTGAAAGTCCAGAAAAATTCCTTCAGTATCTTAGTCCAGTTGGGGGGCTGACAACACACAGCATTTGTGTAGACTGAGTGGTGTCAGCTCTGCTCGGTTTTATTTTGCTAAACTACTGAATCAAACCCCCAAACCACTTTTTCTCATTTTCACAACATAAGGACTAATTGTATTGTATTGTATTCCAAGATAAGAACTGGGAGGGCTAACTAGGCTCCTGGAGATAACACAGGAAGTGGAGAGGGCACAGGACAGCTCTGAAGTCCTAACAAGTTCAATAGGTTTTTTGCTTTTATTGCACAGATTGAAGGAAACTCTTTCAATTGTATATGTAACAGACCAAAATAGGAACATAGGAGATGTGCATTGTCAGAGTTTACATTAACTTTAATACTTTTTTTTTTAAACTTTTTTTATAGCTGACCAGAGTTAAACTTTAAATGAATTCCTTTCATTACTTTTTCAGCAAGGGTTCTGACTGCACTGTCTGATATATGGTATGTCCACTATAGGGGGAATCTGTGCAAAAAATGAATGTCTCCTACAAATACATCAGACTAATGAGGTGGAGATGGAAATATGACGACATGAGTAGATCAGGCCTTCTCTAACATACAGTATCTGATACTTGGGATGGAGGAGTGGTGTTCAGCTGTCTGACACGGATTCTGTCTATTTCAGGAATGTATCCTGTCTGGTATCATGTCTGTGAATGGAAAGAAGGTCCTGCACATGGACCGGAACCCTTACTATGGCGGAGAGAGCTCTTCCATCACCCCGCTAGAGGAGGTACGTATCCTGACCAGTTCCACATCCTCTTTATTATGTGCATTTATTTTCCAGGATGCCCCCGGTACAGTTACTGTACACAAATTCCAGGCCACGCCCCTTGCATCCCACAATGCATTGGATGTGCCTGTTTATAAGTTATTAATTAAAAAAACGAAACAAAACCGAAATAGAAAAAATTGTAAGGCCGAAACCGATGCCGAAAATGTTTTTATTTTAATTTCTTTCACATTTATTTTTAGTTATTTTTTATAAACTTTTAAAAAATGTATATTTATTTTTTTTATTTATTTTTTATTAATTGACAACTTTTTCAATAATCGATTATAATCGATTATGTCGATTAGTTGTTGCAGCCCTAGAATATAGTAGGTTTACTATAACCACAGCTATGAATGAATAGGAGGGGATATAGATCACTCCCATTCATTCATAATTGAGGATATAATAACCATACCATGTCCTCAATTATCTACAAAGTGATCGCTCAGTGTATGTTTCCTGCTCTCCTCTCTGACACGCTGTCACAGGAGGCTGAGCGAGCGGAGCAGGGAGGAGAGCTCTGCCTCCTGTGACAGCGCTCTGCCACCCTGTGATAGGATTTGAATAGGGGGAGCAGCAGGCTGATGAGCTCATCTCTCTGTCACTCTGTTCTCCCCTCGTACCAGAATACTTCTTGCACTATAGCACACTTGATAGGCTCCTTGGATGGCTTCTCACTCTCCCAGTCTAAGCCCTGCTGTACAGGGAGGACAATAGTGTGATACCAGGTCAAATTGTGTTACTTACACTGCTTGCATTTAAAAACACATTGAATGTTTTATGAACGAATACACAATTATGGGCCTCACGTCTGCTTGGAGTTCAGCTGTAATGACAGGTTTACTTCAAAGTGTGTTTAAAGCCAAAACATTTGACCTATTGTGTAGAGTAGGGAAGGATTAGTCTGTGCCCCCGCTATGCAGACTTACTCTCTTTATTTCTTTTGTGACCACTGTCACCAAGACAAAAAGTAATGGGAAGTTCACATCTTTAGAATTAGGACAAGCGATGAGGGGAAATCTTACTACAGGGACACCTGTCCCAGTGACAACTGTCTAAGGGGGAATTCTTCTCGTCTAGTAGAGATTCCTTCGAACTTCCTACTGTGTCTCCAGGACTGCAAGTTATGGGACTTCTCCCCAATGGGACACAGACAGTTAGGGGCTGTAACCTTTTCCTATTTTGTCCAAGAAGGTTTTGGCTTTACAGTACATGCACATTGTGTGTGTGTGTGTGTGTGTGTGAATGACAGATATTTGGTATAACAATTCACTGGCAGGATGTGTACTCAGATCTCCAGGCTTGCTTTCTGGGTGCAGTTGCTGCCTGGATAAAAGATTGTAGATCTAGACAGAACAGCCCACCATGGTTTGCTTGGGTCCAATCGCAGTCACATGGTCTGCTATGATTTTGATTACAACCTTTGTCATCAACTGCTTTACAGACACCAAATGTTCTAATCAGCCTGACAGCGAGGCCCAGTTCACACCTTGGTGTTCACGCATCACGTCAAAAATGTACATCGCGCTTACGTGCCATTACTTGTTAAGCGTGGCCGGGAAAACATGCTTTTGTGCCTGCGCATCAAACGCATTGGTTTAAAAAATGCAGGAAGCTTGCAGCTGAAAATGCAGCACAAGCGTCTTTGCCCCGTTGAACACATGTGTGGAAGCCCCTTTGAAATAAATGAGCTGAAGCGTGGCAAGCGCAGCAAAAACGCTGGCGAACGTGTGTTCACATATCGCCAAGTGTGGATTGGGTCTGAAGGTGCCCTTATAGGCTTCTCAAATAAAAGTGCCAATACAAATCTGCAATGTGCGTGGTTGCTGTATGCACCATACTTCTAACAGTCTCATATTTCAGGCAGCAGGATAGGGCATGGGAGCAGTTTAGTCAACACACAGTGTTAGATGGGGCTCATACTGCTAAGAGAAGTAACTCTCTGAGTCTAGTTATTAGGGCATGCAGAAGTATAGGAGGTGAAGCTGACTGGTTAGAAGCAAAGAGTGGGAGCAGAGACCATTCTGAATATTTACAGGTAGGCCAGGCTGAAAAGAAGTTGGGCTACCAACAAACACTTACTTTTAGAGAAGGGTTAGAATTCTGGCGTGGTCTCCAACCCTCTCTGATAGGTAGCTGTGTAGGGGGGAGAGTTGTTCTGGTTTAGGTGATGGGAATTGGTCTATTTGCAGCTTGATGCAGCAGTCTTATTTGCATTCTGTACCTGGTTTGGCAGCCTGGCCTGTGTTTCTATTTCTTTAAAGTTCATCTAAAGCCCCATTTTAGCTTTGGATAGAGTATGGAACGGTTAGAACTACTGTCAGTGCTGGGGAGAGGCACCCTCTCTATTTGTCCTGGTGACCATTCTCTCCAGTAAATGAAGTCATGGGGAATACAAAATCTTGTAGTTGTCACCAGAACAGTAGGTGAGAGGTCATCTAATGCGGATTCCTGTGACATCTGTCTAAGAGGTGATTTCCCCTAATTTGGAGAGATTTTCTCACACTTCCTGTTGTGTCTCTGGAACAATAAGGAAAGGGAAATCTCTCCAAAGAGACACAGGCAGCAAAAAGAACTTGCCAGGAGTTTTATGATTCTGGTCTCTAAAACAAAAGAAAGATGTTTTGGCTTTAGGTACACCCTATATCCATGCACATCGTGAATCACATTCTTGGGTGAGCTATACATTAACTACAAGTCCCAGCACAGCCAGGTACCATGTCCTGTGTGGCTGTGTATAACCTGCTTTTCTACCTACAGCTTTATAAAAGGTTTGAGATCCCCGATGGGCCCCCTGAGAGTATGGGAAGAGGACGTGACTGGAACGTGGACCTGATCCCCAAATTTCTCATGGCTAATGGTAAGTAGATGATTGTGGAAAAGTGATCTAGTAAAGGGCTTGAATGGAGCGTTTGCACGGAACAGGTGCAGTGTTTGGCCCGCTCCACTCCAAAGCATAATTCTATTGAGCGGTGCTTTGTGCACTCTCCATATAAAATAGCACCCCAATGTACAACACAGTAAGTGCCGTCACACTCACACTGCAGTGCACCACAACGCTTATACTGTGAGTTGTGGTGTGTGGTGTTAAAAATAGAAGATGTCCAGCTTTTGTTCCCTTGCCATGTGTTGGCAGCCCATTAAATGCACACACATTAATACACATGCTACTACTAAATTACATGCAGACAGTGACCATCTAAGTGCGGGCACTCAGACCCACACGGATGTGCCGGCTCAGGTCTGTGTGTAACCTCATGCAGCTGCGTCCTTCTATAGGGAGGTATAGGCTGCTGCATGGAATTACACGCAGGTCTCTGCACAGGAATGAGCCCTAAAATACTGTCCTAAAAGCAGACTGCAAAAGGTGCCTTTATTAGCCAAAAAAGCTTTCCCAGTGCCGATCCCTGGTCCTGGATTGGTTTGGCTACTAAGGCCTCAATATCCCAGAATGTAGGGGTAAGCCCTGTCCTTGGAATCAAGGATCTGACACTCTGTTAGGTACAGAGCCTGCAATATGTGTCTATTTGCCTTATTTCCCTCATACTGGGAAAGCAGAGCTGCTAAAAAACATTCCCTTCCAATCAGATAACTGTGCTTGCTTTTCAGTTAACCACAGATGCAAAAGAGTTGAGTAATCCAAAATGATGACTGCACATTGTTGTAAAAACAGGAAGTAAAATCTGAACGCATCATTGAAACCGAGCTACAAAAGAGGAAGCGCCTGGATTGCAGCTGTGTCAGTTTAGCCAGCGCTTCTAAGAACTGTGAGGCAAACAATGGTTGCTTTTTTGGGTACTAGTCTTCCTTTGTTTGCCTGCCACTTCTACTCCTCATTTGTTGTACGTCGCTCCTCAGTTGTACCCAAATGTTACCAAAGAGGAATTGACTAAAAGCCCCCCTCCCTTTCCTGTAGTAGTAAGATGATTCCATTTGGTTTCTGTTGCCAACAAAGGAACTATTTTGTTTCCTCCAGTTTTTTTAAAGTGTCACCCCAGCCTGTGTATGTACCATTAGATGGCTTTCACTAACACATACAGAATAAAAGGTAGAATCTTGTTGTTCTTCCCTCTGCCACTTTGATAAATAAGGGTGTGTAGACCTTTGGACATACACAGGCCAATCAAATACTTCACAGGCAGATGTATGAAAGTATCTATTGTTTAAGCCTGCTTTGGCTTTCAGATGGGAAATGTAGGATACATGCTACACATTGATGTCCCTGACAATCGGGGGCCACTGTAAATGAGTTACCCTCGCAGACACATTTTAGTTATCATGTAATATTAGATTTTTGCGCTGAACTAGCATACCAACATTTTTGCATCATCCTGCCATGTCTTATTTTTTATTTATACTCCTTTATTCTGCAATGCCGTGGCTAGTATAAAACCGTATATCACCACTACATAAACAGAGGGCACAAGCAGTAACTCATTCTTGCCTACAATTGGTCGGATCAACACACGATCGGTCTGCCTCGCATGAAGTAGCAGCAACTAATTAGTAATCTTTTATTATTTCGACTGCCGGAAACAAATAAACAATGACACCTTACCATTGCATTGGCTTATTAAATAGGACTTGTAACAAGGAAATAACCAGTAAGCCAAATAAACCAATCAGAAGCCACCTTTACTGGTCTCACTACATTGAGCTTCTAAATATTGGTTTGTCATTGGTTGCCCTTTATACCATTTATTTCAAGGCAGTAATGGACATTGCAGCATAACTGAGATGCAGGGGATGAGACGACCATGTTCCAAGTTTGTTGGCATCCATCATTCCATAATGTTCTCTCTCTTGCCTCAGAATGTCTGGAGGTGTCAAGGAATGAAACAAATGGACCTCTACCTCTAATCTTATCTAAAGATCACAATCATTAGCAGCAGTTTTCCTGGTATTGTAAGGCAAAGCCTTGCAGGTTAGCAAAACTGGGATTTCTTGATAAAAGGAAGAGTGAATAAGGCATTGATATGGTAAATAACCCATCTATTTATTATTTCCTTACTAAAGTTCATGTACAAATCCAAGCCCAAAAACTACCAACCATAGTATTAACAATAGGTGGAGGATAGAGAAGTACTGCAGCTGCAAAAGGGTCTACTCTGTTTCATGTCTACTTGCACTTGATGAAAACTCGTTCTTCCTCTCCAGTTCCTAATACGTTTCCATTGTAGGATTAAAAGAGAAAGGAGAATCTGGTTAACATGGAAGTTCAGACCCAAGAGAGCCAGTATTCTCAGAACATCTCAAACAATTCATCCCCACACTGCTACCTCCTCCTATATCACTTGCCCCTCCCTTTTAGATTGTAAGCCCTCAGGGGCAGGGCCCCCCTTACCATCTTGTCTTGAATTGTATTGTAATTTCTTCCTTATATTGTAAAGTGCTGTGCAAACGGTTGGCGCTATATAAATCCTGTATAATAATAATAATATAATGAGAGTAAAAGACTTTCATCTTATAAACTAACTGTAATCTGTTTTCTACTTAATTTCCTAGGCCAGCTGGTGAAGATGCTTCTCTACACTGAAGTTACTCGTTATTTAGACTTCAAAGTGGTGGAAGGAAGCTTCGTCTACAAAGGAGGGAAGATCTACAAGGTGCCGTCAACCGAGACTGAGGCTCTGGCCTCCAGTAAGTGAGCATGGCAGTCTTGTGAATAAAAATAGTTAAACTGGAACTGTAATTTTCTCTCAAAATCTGTTATAATAAAGTACAACCTACAGCCTTGTTTTCTGGGGCGTAGGATGTACAGCCTTGTTTTCTGGGGCGTAGGATGTACAGCCTTGTTTTCTGGGGCGTAGGATGTACAGCCTTGTTTTCTGGGGCGTAGGATGTACAGCCTTGTTTTCTGGGGCGTAGGATGTACAGCCTTGTTTTCTGGGGCGTAGGATGTACAGCCTTGTTTTCTGGGGCGTAGGATGTACAGCCTTGTTTTCTGGGGCGTAGGATGTACAGCCTTGTTTTCTGGGGCTTAGGATGTACAGCCTTGTTTTCTGGGGCATAGGATGTACAGCCTTGTTTTCTGGGGCGTAGGATGTATAGCCTTGTTTTCTGGGGCGTAGGATGTACAGCCTTGTTTTCTGGGGCATAGGATGTACAGCCTTGTTTTCTGGGGTGATTGTAAATTGTACTAAAGGACCATATATGTCAGATCATATTGGGTAAAACATGACTTTCAACATGATTGCGGGGACTAATTTCATCCCCACCAACATCTTGTTTTTGCAGACCTCATGGGCATGTTCGAGAAGCGACGCTTCCGCAAGTTCCTGGTCTTCGTGGCCAACTTTGATGAGAATGACTCAAAGACATTTGAAGGGGTGGATCCCAAGAGCACAACCATGAGAGACGTCTACAAGAAATTCGACCTAGGCCAGGACGTCATTGACTTTACAGGACATGCGCTGGCCCTTTATCGAACTGATGAGTAGGTGGATTTCTTACCAAGTAATTCGTACACTTCTAAAATATTGTCTTTGCATGGTGTCTTGTCCTGTTGAATCTTTAGGTCAGTCCTTTCCTGGCAAAGCCGAAATCCTTTTAAAATGCAATTATTGTTTGCATCATTACTAATTTGTATTTGTTCTATTTCAGATATCTGGATCAGCCATGCCTGGAAACTATCAATCGTATAAAACTATATAGTGAGTCTTTGGCGAGATATGGAAAGAGCCCCTACCTCTACCCTTTGTATGGACTTGGTGAGCTGCCACAAGGGTTTGCTAGGTGAGTTCAACTTGGGTCTAATTAATTTATATACAGAATAGAAGGCTGGTGGGGTTATGCCTTGCTATGAGCAACTAGTCAGCTATTATGAGCCTTGTTTAATCTGTGTTAGTAGGACATTCCATTGGTTTCTCTGGGAATCACATTTCATTGGTTTCTCCATGGACATCACATTTCATTGGTTTCTCTGGGCATCACATTTCATTGGTGTCTCTGGGCATTACATTTCATTGGTTTCTCTGGGCATCACATTTCATTGGTGTCTCTGGGCATCACATTTAATTGGTTTCTCTGGGCATCACATTTCATTGGTTTCTCTGGGCATCACATTTCATTGGTGTCTTTGGGCATCACATTTCATTGGTGTCTCTGGGCATCACATTTCACTGGTTTCTCTGGGCATCACATTTCATTGGTGTCTCTGGGCATCACATTTCATTGGTTTCTCTGGGCATCACATTTCATTGGTTTCTCTGGGCATCACATTTCATTGGTTTCTCTGGGCATCACATTTCATTGGTGTCTTTGGGCATCACATTTCATTGGTGTCTCTGGGCATCACATTTCACTGGTTTCTCTGGGCATCACATTTCATTGGTGTCTCTGGGCATCACATTTCATTGGTTTCTCTGGGCATCACATTTCATTGGTTTCTCTGGGCATCACATTTCATTGGTGTCTCTGGGCATCACATTTCATTGGTGTCTCTGGGCATCACATTTCATTGGTGTCTCTGGGCATCACATTTCATTGGTGTCTCTGGGCATCAAATAAGTCTTCAATTCTGTTTATTCTAACAGGCTGAGCGCAATCTATGGTGGAACATACATGTTAAACAAGAGTGTAGATGAGATTGTAATGGAGAAAGGAAAGGTGGTCGGAGTAAAGTCAGAGGGAGAGGTAAGTTCTAAACCAGTGACTGGAGGATTTCAAAATGTGGCATTTTATTGATTGGGCTAATGATGCATTTTGAAAGTCTGTGAGTTCCTTAGATATGTATGGAGTACAAGACCCGGGTCGCTGAGTTGTACTTAAACTTCTGTAATATTCTTGTTAGTGTCTGGAAATCTAGTGAGTTTCTACATAGTGTCTTTAGGTCTGATGGACCATGAAGCAGTAACTAAATAACTGGAGAGTTTCAAAGCAGCATCTCAATCATTTATAGGTTTTTAAGCCGTATTGTGAGCTCTTGAACAATATGTAGATGAATGAAGCATGATATGGTAGGTTTTTGAACAGTGTTTTGAGGTCTGGTGGGTTTTGAGTTACAGGGAATTCTTGAGCAATGTCTAGATGTAGACCATCTGTGAATATCTGAGTTCCTGAGCAGGTTTATCTGGATGTCATTTGAATTCCCAATCAGTGTCTGAATGTCTGTTGAGTTTCTGATCAATGTTTGGATGTCTGCTGAGTTCCCGAACAGTGTTATCTTGATGTATGTTACGCTTCAGAGAAGTGTCTGGACAACTGTAACGTTTCTTCTCCATGAATCTTGAGATTTCAAACGTGGTGGGTTCCTGAGTAAAATCCAGATTCCTGAGGGGGGGGTCCCGGGCAATGTGTATACATCTGGTGGAATCCTACACACTAGCTTGTGGTCTTGGGAGTTCTTCAGCATGTGTAGATATGATAACAAATATAGAAAGATTACTTGTTTTTGAATACAGCTGACTTCATCCAAGGGTAAGGCAAACTTAACTGTCTCATTTTGCCTGTATCATGCAGGTGGCACGTTGCAAGCAGCTAATTTGCGACCCCAGCTACATTTCCGACCGAGTACGCAAGGCTGGTCAGGTAATCCGTGTCATCTGCGTCTTGAGTCATCCTATCAAGAACACCAATGATGCCAACTCTTGCCAAATCATCATTCCACAGAACCAGGTCAACAGGAAATCAGGTGAGATCAATAGGACAGTAGTGGAGCTGATCATTGTACACACTCATGAGAATTAGATGAAATGAATGAAAAGGAAACTCTGTGCTTCTGTTCCAATGCAGACATCTATGTGTGTATGATCTCCTACGCACACAATGTAGCGGCACAAGGAAAATATATTGCTATCATCAGCACCACGGTGGAGACTCAGGAACCCGAAAAGGAGATTGAGCCAGCACTGGAGCTGCTGGAGCCTATAGACCAAAAGTAAGAATCTACATGACATGGCCAAGACCTTTTCTTAAAATCTGTGATTTCCATTGTATGATGTGCACTGGATAAACTTGCACCTTAACTGCCTTTTGTTGCAATGGAGAGCAGCCAGTATTTCAACACTGTCATGTAAATGACAACCTCAGACTGTATGCGTGCTGCTCTCTTCTCATACTACTTGACTCATGCATTACCAGAGCAGGGAAGCCTTACTAAGGAGCTTGTGTTGTCGATGGGCAAATGCAGGTTGCTTTTAGACTGCATTTAAGATCAGTTTGAGACACTTCTAAAATTGTTCAGACTTCACTGACAGGTGCATTATATCTGTAGTTGACCTTCTTCTCCCCTGCATTGGACCTCCCAAGCTGGATCACCATGCTTTAAGAATGTTTTTGCATTCTTATTGATTGTATAGGGAGAGAAGAAGTTCTGATGTGAGCAAAAGGCCATCAACACAGGCCCTAATGGGTGGTATTATAACAGATCCGCTGCACTACAGCTTCTAAGTAATTGCTACGTTTCTCTCTGCAAGTAAATAAGGGCTGGCTCACCCTAGGAGTGCCTCTCTCCTCTATAGTTTTCCTGGTGTCATGGGACAGAAAGGTTGGGGGAAACCTAAAATGTTAAAGTTGTCTCCAAAACAGGATGAGTGCAGAAATCTCACAATGATTGTAACACTACATTTGTGTATTTTATTTTACATTAAGGATGGTATTTATTTTATTTTTCTATCTGATTAATTGAAAAAATAATCAGCCAACTAATCGATTATGAAAATAATCATTAGTTGCAGCAACCATTAATGTTTCCCTGCTGAACACTCAGGAATGGCAATGTGAATTAAAAAATAAAAGTCTTTGGAGTCAACCTGTTTCTCTACATAATTTGTTTCAGGAATCCCAGTCCTTGGTTATTCTTGCACTAGAAAATTTTCAATATAAGGTCCTTAAGACAATGTTAAAGTTCATGTTTTTTAATTTGTGTCTTCATTACAGGTTTGTTGCAATCAGCGACCTGTATGAGCCTACTGATGATGGAACGGAAAGCCAGGTAAGTCTCCAGGTGAAATCACCTTCTCTTCCTGTCTATTATAGAGTGACAGACACCACAAAACATGTGACAAACCTGACTTAGAGGTTTGCTGTCACTTCATCTGCCTTTCATATACATAAATCTACAGTCCCCATATTCCAAGCACTGCCATGGTGACTTGAACCAAAATGGGAATGCAGCTTGTCCCTGTTATTACAAGAGCTCACTACATCCTAGATGCCCAGACCAAATTTAAGCAACTTCTGTTCTCTTGAAAATAACCATATGACTAATCTATCTGCCTAAATATGTTTTGCATCAAATAGATTTATTAATTTTTTTTATACATTCAAATTTTTGTTTTTTAACTTTTCTTACTAATAAATGTATTTTCACACCTTCAGCTGTCATTGTGCTTCCCCCACCCGCAGTGCGATCGCCTGCATTGGAACGCGCGGTACCACAATGCCGTGTGGCGCGCTTGCAAAAAATTGTGCATGCAATTTTAATCTGAAGTAAACTTTCTTTTTGTGACACTCCATTTGTGTATTTTATTTTAAAGACGGTATTTAATTCTTTTTTTATTATCCGATTAATCGAAAAAAAAATTATCTGCCAACTAATCCATTATGAAAATAATCGTGAGTTGCAGCCCTAACCGATATAATAAGTTAGGAAATGCTAGTAATCAGAGGCTCAATAAATCAATCGGTTCATTAATTGAATAGAACAATAGGACAGCCGCTGGGATTTACAGAGCCTCTGATTAATAGCATTCTCTAACCCACATTTATAATATTTACATTACATTGATCTCTTGTGCATGGGGCCATATCTCAATGAAAAAGTAGTTATTTCACAGACTATCCAATCATACAATTAGTAAGCACAGAAAAAGTTAGCAGATAAGCATCTTACTATCAAATGTTTTCATGTCAATTGTTCACTTTTTAAGTAGGCAACAGAAAAGCAAATAGTTGTGGCTGCAAAGTTCTTTGATAAGCAGATTACTCCATTACCCAACTGTTCATCTGATATTCTTCTCTGTCATGCAGGTGTTCAGTTCACGTTCCTACGACGCCACCACACATTTTGAGACCACATGCAATGACATCAAGGACATCTACAAGAGAATGACTGGAACAGACTTTGACTTCGAGAACATGAAACGCAAGCAGAATGACGTTTACGGGGAAGACGAACAGTGAATTGGGCGTTTGGTTGGGGCAGGGTGGGATAGCAATGAGTTGCAACTTGAAAAACAACTACATTTTTTTTTTCTCCCTAAAGGAGGGTTGGTCGCAAATTTTAGAATGAGCATGTGGGGGGAACCATGTTATGTGATGAAGTTGGGAATGGAGGTTGCCTAGTAACAGTAAGACGAGGAAACATATAGCTAAAGCTTCCATTCTCCCTTTTATCCTCATGATTCCAATTTAACTTTTTAAGCCTTGGGCTAACACTGTGGTGGAGCTTCAACCTCCAGTTTGCTCTGGGTTCCAGTTCTCAAAACGTTATCTCAGCTGTACAAGCAGCCACACACTTGTCGTTTTACATTCATAGCACACTTAGCCCAGGTTGTCCCTCATCTCACAACTGAGTGCTTACTGATTCTCTTATTACTTAATCTTACCCTACTTACTCTCTACTTGGTCAGAGTAGCTTGCAGATGTGTCTTCTGGTAATTGGCAAAGGTTTACCTTAACACCTAGATCAACTAGATGATACAATTTATTTGTGTTGTCAAGAAAGTAATTTTGTATTAGTTCTTCACTAGACCATGATGTCACTTAACATTTCTGCAGTGTGACAGGATTGCCTTGTCCTAAGTCATGGATTCTCTACTTATACATAAGTACATTTATTAAGGACCACACGCAAGATAAAACCATAGTGTTCTTGAGGACCTAGGTACATCTAGATCATTTTAGCAGTTCCACTTAATGCCGAGGTCCTATATCCTGTTGTTTTTTTCCCCATGGCTTGTCTCCTTGTGGAGTGCAGATCCTTTCAACACAAACTTGGCCTTCAGTTTTTCCCAGACAGCCATTTCAATATAGCCAGAGGCTTCCATGCCAAATGTCTTCAAGTCATAAGAGTATCTGTAGACTAATTGGCCAGCAGTTAACATGCGACATGGAAATCTCTCATCCAGTTTGTTTTTAAGTTGGCAGTTGACCCCATACCACATGAAGGTTTATTTTATCCAGTTGGCTTTAAAGATAATAATTTGCACAAAGGTTGCATACTAAGCGAACCTTGTTGTGATGCCATATGAAACTCTGGTGCCCAGTTAGTTGTTTCCAGCCAGGTAATTCTACATTATACCAAGTCTTAGTGGGAAATGACTAAAGCCAGACTAGAGGACTGGAATGTGGCATTACATTTCATGTTGAGTGCCTTCGGCAGAAGCTTTTTAATATGTTAATTTAAAGAGTTATGTTTAGTAGAGTCCCCAAGTGAAAGGTTTATCTTTTAGTGCCATTTCGACTTCCTGGGGTATTATAGGTAACATTTTACATATGAAAGCCCAAGTCTCGGTATTTGAACAGACTACCAAGCTAGGTTTTGCCCAAAGGGTCCAGTAACCAGGGCACAACACCTTTCCATATCAAGGTCTTACAACTAATCCAAATGGAAATGTGTAATTACACTACATCAAGTATACACAACTCATATCATCGAGACCATAGCTAAGTTGGCTTCCATCCCCAGTGTTTTCTCTAACAAATGGCTTAAAAAGTTACATTAACATTATTATCTTCCTAATCTAATTTATTTAACTTATTAGCAAAACATGTCTTAAAGGCATGAGTTTTAAAAAACAGTATGCTAGTCTTATGAGGGAATACACTAAACGAGAAAAGAACAATAAACATCCTAGTTTGCTGGTGACTAGGTGAAGTGGCTTAAGTACAGACTATAGAAAATATTTCATTCAAGGAAAATGTCTTAGAACAGCATGATGTCAAAAGGAAAAAAAAAGCATAGACCAGTCTAGACTTAATCAATGAAAACAAGGGACCAATTTCTTTACTCATGTGCTCAATTCCTAAACTAATATGCTACATTTTATTTGGTGGTTAAATGGCCTCCGTGGCTTTGGCAACAGGGCTACTTTGAGGGTTAGGCCAATAAACCATACTGAAGCCTTCTGTACTTCAGTCACCACTGTGCTTACAATAAACAACACTACAGGCTACATTATAACAATGTTAAGCTCCACTTAGGTCCTTGTGTTTTTATTTCAAGTGTATTTCCTTTTCCAAAAAATAAAGGCAGCGTAGAGTATTGATCTGTTTTATCAACAAGTCACCATGTAGTAGATTTGTTCCAGTGAGATCAGATCCAGTTTGTCAGTTATTATACCTAACTGTAAGAGATCCTTTTATACACAGACTTACTGTGTGCAGGACATCCTGTGGTGGTCACTGTGTGCAGTTCATTTAGTTTCTCCTGAAGGTCAGTGATGAAATATCCCTCTGGTGCCATACAGTATGTCTTCTGTGTCGGTGACAGGGGTTTATGGAACATGCCTCTTGCAGTGCTGTTTGCATGGCTGGGTTTCTGGACCTAGGAAAAAGTACCACCGGGAATACTTCAGTTATATCCTTATTAAGTCCTATTTTGTCAATTAAATGTAAGCCAAAATATAATTTTGCTGGTATGGTAAATGCCAAAAAAGAAAGCGGTTATGAAATTTCAGACAAAGGGTTATATGATAAAAACAAAATGTGGTACTTGCAACGTGGTATAGAAACCCTTCCATCTATAATGTTATTAGTGATCCATAAGGAATATATTTTCTATTCATTGTTCTGTAACTATTATATCTGTTTCTGAAATTTCCTTAGGTGGTTACTGACAAATATTATTCTCATCTTATTTGCTGGTAATCACTGAAAATTGATCGTGTCTTGTGTGCTGGTCATTATCCAACATTGTGGGGACTACTAACTAGATCTAGTTTTCTAGTAGTGGTCACCCTAGAGCAGTGGTGGCGAACCTTGGCACTCCAGCTGTGCCAAAACTACAAATCCCAACATGCATCTGCCTTATGTCTGTGGCTGTCAGAGCCTTGCAATGCCTCATGGGACTTGTAGTTCCAAAACAGCTGGAGTGCCAAGGTTCGCCACCACTGCCCTAGAGTATGATGGAATATGGATCTTCTCTTTTCTTGGTGATCGGCCATAGAATGTTAATGATGGTTTTGGTGATCACCAAGAAACGGCATCTTTTCTCCAGTGGTGGTGACCATCCAAAATACTCCTTGTCTTTGGTTGTCTTTATTGAGGATGGATCTAATTTTTTGTAGTAGTCCTTCTATCCCTTGTAGTGGACACCATGAAGTTTGGGCTTTGTCTCTTTGGGTGGTCACTGTACATACTATGGATCTCTCTCGTGTTGTGGGTTTATTCCAAATAAAGTTGAATCCACTTTGCTGTCTATATAATTTCTTTTTTGAAATGTTGATTGTCTTTTTCTTCTCTCAAAATATTTCTCTCAAAATATTTATCAGCTACTTTGCATTGTCTGCCCCCTATAAAAAGATCTTCTTACTAGTAGATATTATTAATTTACTGTGTTTGACAAAAACAATATCAAGTAAAAATGTTGTGGAAACTCCGTGTCTTGTTTTATGTCTTATCAACGCATAAAGCCGCACACATAATTGAACATTTTTGTTTTCTAGTAGGGATAAAGTGAAATGTAAAGATGCACCGAAATTACATTTTTAAAACCGAAACAAAACAAAAAATAAAAAAAATGTCAGGCTGAAACCAAAAAAAATATATTTTAAATATTTTATTTATTTTTTATATTTTATTTTTATTAAATATTTTATTTTTTTTACTTTACTTTTAGGGACTTCAGGGAAATATTAGGGGTCTAAACAGACCCCTGATATTTCCCTTTAAAATAGAAAAAGAGATTGAGGATACAGTGCTCAATCTCTTTTTCTGCAGCCCCAGTTATCAATGAACAGGAAGCCTCTATACTGAGTGTTCCTGTTCATTCATAACATGTGGATATAGTATGTTTACTATGTCCACAATCATGAATGAACAGGAAGTGATGTAGAAAATCTCCCATTCATTCATAATTGGGGACACAATAAACATACTATGTCCTCAATTATCTACAATCAGTCAGTGATCGCTGACTGCTTGTACCCACTCTCCATCCTGACCCCCTGTCACAGGAGGCTGAGCAAGCAGTGCGGGGAGGAGAGCTCGGTCTCCTGTGACAGCTGACTCCTCCTTCGCACTTCCGCCCAGCCTTCCGACAGCTGTCTCCGCCTTCCACACCGCTGGAGGAGAGCACGGCCTCTTGTGATACTCTGGCCGCTCACATCACTCTCCTCCCCAGCACTGCTCGGCCTCCTGTGACCGTTTCTCTCCTCCCCCCTGGACGCTGCGTCACAGGGGAAACAGAGCAGAGCCCTGGAGGAAGGAGAGAAACCAGACATGCACCGCAATCTCGGCCCGAAAGATGGTACCTTCAGCATTTTGACAAAAGTGCCATTTTCAGCCGATATGTTTTGGCGGCCGAAATTTCGGAGCATCGCTAGTAAAAAGATTCTAAAAAGTAGAAAAAGTCCAAAAGGCAGACTAGAATTTTTTTTAAAGCTATAAAGTCATTTCTGTCTGTTTGGTAAAAGATAACTTCCCAGTTGCTCAGGTTTTTGGGAAGCAGGGGATAGTAGGTCTCTGAGCAGGCCTGACCAGTGACATGCAGAATTTAAAATACCAGATCTGCCTACTAGCAGACGGGGGGCATACAAGGTATGTGCTGCGGGGTCTCTGATAGCATGAAAACCTGAACTGAGCAGAAACTGTTTTAACTGTGTTCATTTACAAATAATATGAAAAACTCCTTTATTATTAAACTCTAAACTTTTTTTCCAATAATGAATCCAGATCAGACAAATATACATTGCCCAGCAAAGAATTTCTTTACATTTTTGCTCAAGCACTTACAATCATCATGTTTCCAAACGATTGGCTCCGATTCTCTCAGCTCAGCTTTCCTGAGCTTCCTGTCCAGTACAAGATCACTAGGGAGAGCAGTCTCCAGCAGCTACCCATCTAGTAGCATGGAAAAGAGAGGAGGTAGGAGCAGGGGGGAGAGGAATGACTTGCCTTGCTGTGCATGTGTGGTTGTAGAGACGCACACAGCTTACTCGCACATGTAAGGGTGGCTCCATAGGACACTGCATGGGCAAGGAGCCACCATAAAACAGGATATTAGGATCAGCTGATTCTGCAGGAAGCTAAAACTTCTAAACATCAAGGAGCCGCATCCATTATAAGTGATTTCATCAATATTTCAAAAAGCTTAAAAACCTTTTGACTTTATTATAGCTTTAGGCTTTGTTCACACCGAAAGCATGTGCGTTCCAGAGCGGTAGCTGCTGGAACGCACTGCGATCGCTGAGAAACTTCCCCTTGCGTTTTGGGGCGGGAGGGGGCGTGGCGGTGCATTGTACTCAATGGCAGCGTTCCGTTCCACTGCAAACGCCAAAAATAGGGCTTGCCCTATTTTTGGCGTTTGCAGTGGAACGGAACGCTGGCAAAGTTTTGCCACGCGTTCGCTCACACTGCGGGCGGGGGGGGGCCTGGAAGCGGTGCCATTGAATTCAATGAATCGCCACGCCCCCTCCCGCCCCAAAATGCGTGGGGAAGTTTCTTAGCGACCACGGTGCGTTCCAGCAGCTACCGCTCTGGAACGCACACACTTTCGGTCTGAACAAGCCCTTTACAAAACCTGTACTAAGATACATGCAGGCCCCCATTGCTGACCTCTCCTTGTGAAAAGTTGTCTGGCTATCATGCTATTGCAATGGCTTTAATACTTTTTGCGTCGCTGTCCAGTAAAAAGCATTCAGATCAAGAGTTTTGATTTTTATCTGGGGTACACTTGTTCCAGCTTAGTGACAGAATGTTTCAAAGCCAGGCAGCTACCATTTGTAGAGGAGGATGAGCAGAGCCTGCCCCTTATATTTCTCTCAGCACAGGTTAAAGCATATCTAACCCCAGAACAATACATTTAATATGTTTCCGCTTACCATTCCTCAGATGGGGTGGTTGCATTTGTTTTCTTTTTTTATTTCAAGCTAAGAACATTTTCAGCAAGTACAGAAAATACCTGTTGGTCTTGCCAGTAATGCAGTGTCCTTGTCACTTCCTGTGAGCCGAAAAGAAAGCACAAAGAACCTTATCTTCCCTGTGTAAACTTCTAGTCCCATCAGTCCACCATGTAATGCAGAAGAACAAAGGCAGAAATGTTTAAAGTGCTGTGTCTGAAAGGAGGAGGAGGGGGAAATGTGGGGCCAGACTCGCACTGTCAAAGACAGCTACGGTGCGGTCCCCAGCAGGCTGCCTGAGGTCCCCAGCAAGCGCGGGACCTCAGGCAGCCAAACTTGGTATCAGCCTTTAGTATCATGGTGTTTTCACAAGTACAAGCACTCGGGAAAATGCCTTGTATTGGCCCCGATACTAGTATCAGTATTGGGACATCCCTACTGGAATCTATACATTACACAGCCCTTCATCCATTATACTGAGAATCTCTACATCATAAAGTCCCTCATCCATTATACTGAGCATCTTTACATCATACAGCCCTCATCCATTATACTGAGCATTAGGGATGCACCGATACCACTTTTTTAAGACCGAGTATGAGTACCGATGCTTTTGATCAAGTACTCTCCGATACCAATTACCGATACTTTTTCTTAAAGGGACAGGTCACATTTTTTCTAAAGCAATACAAACTAATGCTTTAAAGTCACTTTCTTAATATTATGATTCATGAGATGACGAGGAAGCATGACGCCGGCTTCCCGGCCAATCAGAATGCCGGGCGCTGCGTCATTACACGGCGCCCGGCTTCCGGATTTGCTAGCTTTCTGAACAATCGGGAAGCCGGGCAGCGCGTCATTGCACGCTACCCGGCTTCCTGATTGGCCAGGAAGTAGGCTCCATGCTTTCTCATCACAAGTGACGAGAGAGCACGGAGCCGTTTCCTGGCCAATCAGGAAACCGGGCAGCGTGTATTGACGCGCTGCCCGGCTTCCTGATACAGGAAGTACTCGTGCTAGGTATCGGAGCATTTGGGCGAGTACGAGTACTCACCCAAATACTCGGTATCGGCACCGATACCGATACTAGTATCGGTATCGGTGCATCCCTACTGAGCATCTTTACATCATACAGCCCTCATCCATTATACTGAGCATCTAAATATTATATAGCACCCCAAGCATTATACTGAGCATCTTTACATCATACAGCCCTCATCCATTATACTAAGCATCTTTACATCATACAGCCCTCATCCATTATACTGAGCATCTAATTATTATATAGCACCCCAAGCATTATACTGAGCATCTTTACATCATACAGTCCTCATCCATTATACTAAGCATCTTTACAATATGCAGACCCCCCTTTGCATTATACTGAGCACGTATTCATCATAAAATCCCTCCTATTCATTATACAGGACACCTATACTGTACATTATACAGATACCTTACATTATACTAACCATCTATACAGTTGTAATCAAAATTATTCAACCCCCATTGCAAATCAGGTTTATGGGCAACATTTACAGACTCTCAGCTTTTTGCAATGAACAAATCAAACAAAAGCAATGGAAATAGGTAAACACAACGAATGTTTCAACTGTTTTCCCTAAATACAACTGAAAATGCAACTTTTATTAGTCTCAAATTTATACAACCCCTTCATGGCAAGCATTTAATACTTAGTAGAGCACCCTTTTGCTGTTATGACCTGCTGCAAACGAGATACATAGCCAGACAGCAGCTTCTGGCAACGTTCCAGAAGAATCTTAGACAGTTTCTCATTAGAATTGGCCTCCAGTTCCCTAATATTCTTGGGTTTGCGTGCTGCAACCGCCTTCAAATCCCACTAGAGATTTTCTATGGGGTTCACGTCAGGTGACTGTGGTGACCACTGTAGAATATTCCAGGACTTCTTCTGCAACCAAGCCTTTGTAGAATTTGAGGTATGCTTGGAATCATTCTCCTGTTAGAAGGCCCAAGGACACCCAAGCGTCAGCTTCCTCATAGACGGCATGATGTTTTTTTCTAGGATTTCCTAATACTTTCATTAATCCATCTTGACTTCCACACACTGCAGGTTTCCAGTGCCAGAGGATGCAAAGCAGCCCCATAGCATTACCGAGTCACCACCATGCTTAAAGTGACACTAAACTCAGGAATTAAATCTTAACAATGCATTCAAGTACCTTAACTATGAACAACAATGTCTTTTATTTATAAAATTTGTAAAAACTGCGCTTATGGAAAAATTGGAAATATGAGTAACCAATATTAAAGCTGCTGCACTCAAGACGCTGAGGCCAAAAGATGTGTATATAATGAATGTGCAGCGCTAGGGGTCACTGGTGGGTGAAATAAACCTATTGGGGTGTTATATCTGTGCTTTCTTAGTTAATGTGAATGAGCATTTATAATAAATCTCTCATGTATGATGTCAATAAACCACCAGTTTAATTACCCTAGTGGCAGCTAGTGTTATTATTTATAAAGTGCAATGCCTCCACTCAGTGCTCATGTGCAATAAATATATAAAAATATATTAAGTTGAATGGATAAAAATGCATAGTACAATAGTACAATACTTAGTACAATAAATGCATGTGATAAATTGATATTCCATTAAAACGTGAATCAAACTTAAAACAAGATATAAACTGTAAAAAGGTGATTGATGATTTAGTGAATCAAATCTGTTATTGAGTCCAATCTGTGTCAAAATATTAATAATAAAAATAATCCAGAAAGTGCTTGAAAGTCTTTTTCCCACACCATGTGCTGGTGTCCACGTCAGTCGCCCCTCTGGGGTGCGCACTCACCACACTGTTATTGTCTGTAGACAATAAGAAGATGATCAATACCACGCACAATACGGAAATACAGGCTATCTGCCTGCGACCGGCCGATTTCTTCCGTTTTAACTGTAAGTTTGTACTTACAGTTAAATAAATGTTTATACCTACGACACCATGAGAGTTTCTTTTTATAATTATTTGGGGACTGCAGAAGCCCTAAAAGTTGCATTGCCAGTAGGATTTGGGGAAACCACTTGAAACATTCGTTGTGTTGACCTATTTCAATTGCTTTTGTGTGATTTCTTCATTGCAAAAAGCTGAAAGTCTGTAAATGTTTCATAATGGATGGGGGTGGGTGGGATAATCCATCCAATCTACTATACTGCACACCTTTAATACATACAGCCCTCATCCACTATCCTGAGCCTCTATACATCATATGGCCCACCATACATTATCCTGAGTCTCTGTACATCATATAGCCCCCTTACATTATCCTGAGTCTCTGTACATCATATAGCCCCCCATACATTATACGGCCACCCTGCTACACACTGGACCCCGCATTGTATTTTACAAAAGAGTCTATCCATCCAGTCTACCTCTCTCTCCCCCTCCCTTTCTCTCTCTCTCTCTCTCTCTCTCTCTCTCTCTCTCTCTCTCTCTCTCTCTCTCTCTCTCTCTCTCTCTCTCTCTCTCTCTCTCTCTCTCTCTCTCTCTCTCTCTCTCTCTCTCTCTCTCTCTCTCTCTCTCTCTCTCTCTCTCTCTCTCTCTCTCTCTCTCTCTCTCTCTCTCTCTCTCTCTCTCTCTCTCTCTCTCTCTCTCTCTCTCTCTCTCTCTCTCTCTCTCTCTCTCTCTCTCTCTCTCTCTCTCTCTCTCTCTCTCTCTCTCTCTCTCTCTCCTCCTTCCACCTTGGAGCCCCGCCCAGACCCGGTCACATGACCGTGACGTCACGCCTCTTCTAAACCCCCTTACATTGTTGTGCCCGCTGGTCTTGCCATCTCCCCCTGCACTGCACAGGCTCCGCCCCCTCCAGGGCCACCGTATGAGGGGTGAGGAGCCCCCAGTCCTTGTCCCGGAGCCGGCCTCTCTGGTAAGTCATGCAGTGAATGGCCTGGTGTGTTTGTGTGTTGCCTGGTTACATGTATTGGCACTGTCCTATATAGAGATTCCTTCAAGAAGGCATTTTACTGCAGCTGGGCAGGAACTACAAAACGCAGCATGACCTGGCAGGGGCTAGCAAGGCATTCTGAAGATGTTTGTATCTCTGGGGGGGAGTCAGAGGTCACCCATAGATGTCTTAAAGGGGCTTTCCATCTTTTAAATAAGGAGTCACGATCTGTTTTCTCATGTCTATGGCCAGTGTATGTATT